TCAACGCAATCAAAACAAATGAAATCAAGTTTAAAGCAATGAAACGTCACGAATAAAAAATGAAACCAGTATGCAATGCGCGGTGACTCATAACAGATTCTGTTTAAATTTTTATTAAACATTACAGCGTGAGCATACGGAATACCAAGAGAATGTGTGAGTAATGCAGAGTTGAGCAAGAGTTCATATGAGCAATACTTTAAATTGCTTTGGTGCTTGCAATGAATTGATTTGCATTGCCTAGTTTTAAGCGCAAATAAACAAATTTCTAAGTGTTCACTTAGTGGAATTAAGAGTATATTAAAAAGGAACAGAAGAGTAATTAGTGAAGAGCAAATTTTGCTGTAAATGATTGTTTATTTTATATTGAATTACCGGTTTTATGCAATATTCTCAATGAAGAACAAAGGCTAGCAACTGTTCGTTTACGCGTATGTACAAGTCATTATGCCAATATTTTATTGTCAACAGACCTCAAAAAAAAAGAGTTAAGAGAACAGTTAACTCAGTTAAATTGTTTTCGTATTAAAAGTGCGGCAAATGATAACAGAATGAAGTGCTGGTTAATACCCAAAAGCAAAAGACGTGCTCAGTTAAGCTAAGTCGTTAGATCGAAGAAGTCGTACGTTGGGTGTTTAAAGCGAAATAAAATCTTTAGCGCGTATGTACGTTTAGTATTAAAAATTCGAAAAAATGTTATTAAAACTTCGGAAATATGGGAATATGCCAAAAATATCACAGCAGTTGATATACTTTTTGAGTATTGTTTTTATGTTTGCTTATACAGTGAATAGTGTTAATTGTTATAATTTATCACCAAAACCCAATGTGGTCATCAAAGATCCGCAATTGGCCACATCTATGCCAAAAGTACAATCCTCATATTTTGGCTTTAGTATGAACCTTAGGCAATCTGGGTGAGTTTATTAATAAATTTCATAAGTCAACTTCTCAGATAAGTTCTCAGTATTCAGCTATTATATGATAAAAAAATCTCAATGATTCATGCTTAAAATTTAATATTAATAAGAAAATAAAATTATTGTCTTTACAGTCATATTTATATTAATATATATATATATACATTTGTTAACATAATTTATATTAATTCGAAAGTTATATGCTTCTGCGATATTCAATACTTTATTTTGTTTTTTTTTCATTCTGTTTTTTATATTTATAAGAAGATGAAGTCATACTAATATTATTCACCTTATCTACAATTATTTACGATAACTTAACGCAAAGAAACAAGACAGCACCAACAACAAACGTCAAAGGCACGTATTTGTTTTTGCTTCTATGTTTGAACTTTAAGGTGTATTTGATATGTCTTCAACAAATTAATTATATAATAAGAAATATCTATCTATTTTCAATAGTATTTAGATTCTTACACATATATGTATGTGTATGTGTATGATATACATTTATGTTAGTAATTATTATATTTAATAAGAACTGAAAAACTTTACATTGGTGACATATTCTCTTAAATTGGTTTTTATGATTTTTAAAAAAAAAACCTCTTTATAAAAAAAAATTTATAAAAATATTTATCTCATTGTTAAACATAAAATGTATATTTGTAATCTTATATTAATTGAAATGTTAAAAGATTGAACAACAAGAATTTTTCATCTAAAGCTACTACAGATATTTGATTGATTGATTATTATATTGTTTATTACTATCCATACTAAAAATCATCTGTAAATACTTTTTTATGTATGCTTACATTTTATCATTATTGAGATGTCCCGCAAGGACATTGGTCTTCTGGTAGGGTTGACTACAGGGCACTGTAAGCTAGGGAACCATGCTAGAAGACTAGGTCTTCCTTTCAACCAAATCTGTCGTAGCTGTGGGGAGGACGATGAGAGCGCATCTCATCTGTTGTGTTTTTGTCCAGCTCATGCACGTCGGCGATTTAGTACTCTAGGGGCCCCCTTCCTTGAGGACCTGGACCAGTTACAGGATCGGGCTTTAAATAGCATTTTATGCTTCGCAAAAGGTTCTAGGTGGTTTTAAACCCTGAGGTTTCTATTATTTATATACGGCATCACAATGGGCCAATAGGCCTAAGTGGATCCACTAGGGATCACCGGTATAACCTAACCTAACCTACATTTTATCACAATGGACCTAAGTGAATCACCCTCGGATCGCCGGTACAACCTAACCTAACATAACATCTATATTATATGCTTACACTTGCTTTGTTACTGCAATTCAAACATTCACACATTCACTTATTCATTCATAATTCACTTAAATTACAAAGAGTTCAGTTTATTTATTTACATTTTTTTTTTGAAGATTCACTTTTATTATATTCGCTTACGCTTGCTGAGATTTGTTACTGCAATTCATACATTCAAGCATTCACTTATTCATTCATAATTCACTCAATTCTCTTACAAACACTCCACAGTTTATATATTTAGAGTTCCTGTGGCGATTCACTAATAATATATTTGCTTACCCTAGCAAAAATTTGTTGCTACAATTTAAGCATTCAGTCATTCGTAATGTTGTTAGCACACACATACACATGCTTCTGTCAATCAATTCAGTCAATCAAAAAATATACGATTAGAAAATATAACTCCAAATGATTCTTTTTTAAGAAGTGTTCATTTCGTGAGTGTACTAAAAAAGTTTCATAAACTCACATCCATATGTTAAAAGATAGTTATGGATATACCTATCTTTGAAATAGATTAGATCCAGTCAAACAAAAAATGTTGTTTATTATATTTTATATGTGCATAAATAATATTAATATGGATTTTTCATTAGTAGCACTGCCAGTGTGTCATTATACGGACTCATCAGTCGATATATGCCTTAATAAGTATAGGATCATTGTGGGTGTATTGTGACACTCACAATCTATTAAGTAGCCTTTTTTCACTACTTACAGACACATCGTCTAGACTACATATTAATCTAAGCACTACTGTGAGAATTTACTATAGCTGTCTCTAAACTGTCATTTCTGGAATAAGTTGTTGTACATTTAACCGTAATGAGACATTTGCAATTGAGTAGTTCTCATTTTACTAAAATTAGATATTCTCAAAATTAGCCTCTCAAATACTTAAAAAGTAAAAAGTACTTAAAAAGTATTTGAATATCAAGAAAATTTTGGTTTTTTGCAAGTAACTAGAAAGGTATTGGGTTCAAAAGGATCGAATCTTATTGCGACTCATATCATTGTTTAAAAATATATCTCTCTTCTTTCATAATTGACAAGTATCTATTATAGACATCTTAACATGGTATAGATGGATTTTTAATATACAAGTGCATTTTTTTGACAAAATAATTTGTTGGTGATTATTGGGTTAACGTAAGATTGAAGAGAGTTAACATCTATGACTGAAATATATTATTTTATCACAAAACTCAGAATTAACAAATTAAAAATAGAATAAAACAGAATAGAATAGGCATACCATGAAAAAATAGCTTTACTTTATTACCCTTAATAGAGTCTCCTTAGCGTACTTATGCATATTATGGCTAAAGATAAACAAGTTTAACAATATTTCTTGGTTTAAGATCTCAAACCATATTCGATTCAATGAAGGTCACATAGGACATTTGCTAGAACTACGAAACTGGGTAACTTGAGTATCTTCTGCATTTTGTTTAATTAATTGAATAATTAACCGTTATTATTTTTGAAATAATAATATTATTACCTATAGTACATATATCATAATGTACAACTAATCAATTTTTTTTTTTATTACTGGTACTGGCATAATAAAAAAAATATTTTTTGGCTACTATATGAGTAACTATACATGATTATTAGGTATATAAAAAGTGGTTTAAATATAGTAGTACTAGTAAGAATATTCCTTGAATTTATATTTTTGATAGATACTTATAATGTCTGTAAGTATTTTAAAGCAATTAGTTAATGACTATATTCATGAGACATGCTCGCACTAATTTTATCTGAACACTTAAACGGTAAATCGTTGGTCACTAAATTACTCTTAAATTCACTTTTAAAATATTACGAATAAAACAATAAATTGTATTCATTATAAATATAATATCCACACCTAATATTTGGCCACATTGTTACCAATATGGCTAAATATAAATAGCTTATCTATATCGCCTTCGTATTGCTAGATATTAGTTGATAAGATTACAACCGGCAGAACTACACTTCAAATTATTATGAATAAATATTTTTATTCATTGCAGTCCAAAACAACATATAATGCAATAGTTTTTTTTTAATATATATTGCAAATATTGGCAAATATTATTCATAAATGTTTACAGTATAAATATTCCATAATATTGGTACTTTTCAATTTATTCACATAAGTCCATATTGAGATACGTAGGTAAATAGTGTTGTAACATTATTAATTACTTAATCACTTAAATATTTATTAAAAAATAAAGGTGGAAAAACAGAAAACCATGAAAACCATTTTCTGTGGCTTAACCCAGTATCAGGTATTGATATAATATATAGTAAGTCTTTGAAACACTTCTAAATTTTAGGCTTGATGTTTCAGTAGTGTTAATAAAGTCTATAGTCCAACCATGACAACATTAATTTACTTAGGCTTTTTTATATATAATATATATTTTAATTTATTTGGAAAAAATTGAATTTAAGATCACTGAAATAGGAATAAGTTATAAGTCTCTGCCGATTTGCTTCAGATCAAATATAGAATTAATCTAGAATCTTTGCTTAAATGTGTAGAGGGTCATCGAAAAATTTATAAATTTCATATTTTATATAAAAATTATTTTCTCGATAATTAATTTTGTTTTATATATTTTATTCCCCCTTGTCTTTTCAAATAGATTTCAATTTTTACACAAGAGATATAGCAAATAAAAATATTATTTCATAATAAACTTAAAATTAATATATATATATATATTTTTATATACACAATTACATACATATTTTTCAATAAAAATAACATAAATATCATATTTTATATTGACAGTATAATTGTTGGAGCACCACGTGCCCAATCAACGCTTGAGTCTCAGCGAAATATAAACGAAACTGGTGCCATCTATCGGTGTTCACTAACAACTACAACTTGTAGCCCCTATGTATTTGAGAGCGATGGTAATCGTAAGGTACCATTTAATGGTTATACAGATGATTCTGAAAAACGTGATTTTCAATGGTTGGGCGCGTCAATGGATGGCGGTGCCAAAGATACCGATAAGTTGTTAGTATGTGCTCCAAGATTTGTAGCACCAACCTCAGACGATTATCTTATGCATGGTGTATGCTATTGGATAAATGATACAATTAGTCAAAATCCAACAAATGTTCAAAAGATTTCACCTTTACGTTTACGCACTGATCAGATTAGAACAACGGACGAGGGAAAACGCTATTATTTTTATTATTTAGCCGAACAGGGCTTAAGTGCACATATTACCGAAAATAATGAAGAAATACTAATTGGTGCACCAGGAATACATAATTGGAAAGGTTCTGTTATACGTTATCGTAAACATGATGCAACTGAGGATCCATCATTAAGTCGACGTGATACAACAGGTAAACGTGTACCACGTCAAGCGGATATTACATATTTAAGCGATATACCCAATCCAGAAAAGTGGGAACAAGACAATGATTCCTACTTTGGTTACTCAGTGAGTTCAGGTCATTTTGATAGTTCTAATCCAACGAAAGTGACTTATGTAGCAAGTGCACCACAAGCAAAAAGTCAAACTGGCGAGGTAAGTACAATGTTAAACTATAGAATCTTGTTTTTTTTCTAATGTTTTTTAAATAATTTTTAAACCAGGCTTATATATTTGACTTCACCGGTAATACAATAACAAAAAATTTCGTCTTTTTTGGTGAACAATTTGGTGAATATTATGGTTATGCCGTTTTGGCGGAGGATTTAAATGGTGATGGACTCACTGATGTTATTGTTTCTGCACCACAGCACCGCAAATCTGGTTCTTTCGATGATGGCGCTATTTATGTCTATATAAATAAAGCAAATGTAAGTAGTTACCATAAATAAGTAAAATCTTATTTAAAAGTAAAATCTTTATAATAACTTGGAACACACTCTCTTTATAATATATAGTTCAGTTTTGAGAAAAAAATATTGACTTCACCAGTCAGTGGCCAAGCACGCTTTGGCACTACTCTTACGAAATTGGGAGACATTAATGGCGATGGTTTCAATGATATAGCTGTAGGTGCACCATTTGCTGGTAATGGACAAGTTTTCATTTATTTGGGCAGCGAGAAAGGTTTGCGTGAACATCCCAGTCAACACTTGAAGTCACCGACAAGTGTTAGTAGTAAATATGGCGCCCACATGTTCGGTCATGGACTTTCAAAAGGTTCCGATATAGACAATAATGGCTTCAATGATTTTGCAATTGGTGCTCCAAATGCTGAATCCATTTTTGTTTATCGTGCATATCCTGTGGTAAAAGTCATTACCACTATTAACTCAGATACCCGTGAAATTAAACCAGATCAGAAAAGCTTTAAACTTAAATGCTGCTATAAAATATCGACTAAATCAACGAAAGTTAAAAATCAAGATTTAACTTTAAAGGTAGTGGTAGATCCACAAGTAAAACGTGTAAAAATCGCACAAACACAAGCAAATGAAATGAGTTTTAATGTGAGTGCTGGCCTACAAACGAAGTGCAGCTTACTGGACGCCGATATTGTTAGTTACAATGTAGCAGATATCTTCAAGCCAATCGAATTGGAGATTCATTATGATATTATAAAAGGAGTGCCAATGTCAGAAGGTTTGTGTTTATAAAATAATGTGATACTTTAATTAATAATAGATAATTATATATGACTTAAAACATAAATTTTAAGTATAGATTTACACTAAACAAACTAAAACATAAAAAAAAAATTAAATATTGGATTATAAATAAAAATATGTGCTTTTGAACCTCTAACTGTATACCCTAAACACTACAGCTATTTTTAATATATATACATATAAACATTTCAGTTTTTTGTGAAGATTGCGTTGCTGTAGATCCACTTGACCCCAAAGTATTCGTAGAAAAATTGATCTTCAGCACGGGTTGCAAATCGGATATTTGCATAGCAGATCTTAAAGTGAGAAGTCGCATTGGTGCAGAGTAAGTTACTTTAAAATAATATATATTTATTGTTGATATCTAATTCTTTTTCTCTCATTTATATAGTCACTCATATATATTAGGCAGCAGTCGCACTTTATCTATTACTTATGATATAAACAACATGGGTGAGACTGCATATCTACCACAAATCAATTTGACTTCCTCGAATCGTATGCCATTCGCCAGAATACCCTCAAATTGTAGGGTCAATAATGAAGCTGTTGTTATGGTTTGTGATCTAAATCGCGGACAACCCATGGCAAATGGTAATTCGGACTCGATAACAGTTATCTACGATGTTAGTGGTATATCGGGCAAAACAATGATTTTAACTGCTGAAGTGTTTAGTACTGGTGTAGAGCAAACACCAACAGACAATATTGTCAGAGATGTCATAACATTGAAGGAGTACACCGAAATTGAAGCAGTGGGGTAAGCATTTAATTTTTCTAATGTTGATTTTTATTATTATATTTTTCGTTTTCGATATTTATTAGTCCCTCTTTATAAGACTCATTACAATAGCTTTAAGTTGGTAAGGCGTATTACCCTCACGGGCTCTCATGAGACCATAAGACCAATTTTTTTTGTAGGTAGGTTTAGTTTTTTTCTGAAGTAAATGTGTGACTGATGCATTTACATTTCATTTAAGAATGACTTAGAAGTTTGGTCTAAATTCATAAGGGGAGCACAGTAGGCTTTAAAGACACAGTGCTATATATTATCTTTAAATGATTATAAAAATTGTGTGATCGTTTTTAAAAAAAAGATTACCATGCTTTGTTTGTGTTGAATATTATTCTAAAACTATATAATATATATATATTATAAATTCATGAGACTAAGAAAAGTAGATACAATATTAGAATTCATTTAGGCAATTTGATTCAAAGAAAAACTTCAGGTCTCATGAGGTTTAAGAAATATAGCAGTGCAAAATATCTTGACAAAATTATAATTATAATAATATATAAAAAATCTATAATAATAACAAGCTACTGTATTGAGATTATTTATAATATCAGTATATATTATAAATTACAAAGATGTAAAGTATCTTTAAGTAAAAACAAATATTACATATTCTTTTTATTTTTATACTTATTTTTATTTAAACTTTAAAAATAATTTTTACATTAATAAAAAATTTATTCTAGAATACCTAAAACACCATATATTAATTTGGAGAAGGTCTTCAATACTACTGAAATTGTAAACAGTTATGAAGTAAGTTAAGAACAATTTTATAATTTTCAAAAATAATGAGCATAATACATTTTATATTAGATCAAAAGTAATGGTCCAAGTAGAGTTGGTGCTTTGGAAATAGTTTTCAATATACCCATAGCATATAAAGTACAAGGCTCAAGTGCTACTATACCTATAATTAATTCCAATAATATTACTATGCAAGCAGTCTATGATTCTCAACTGGTTGGCATTGATTATTATGATAATAATACGCAGTTACTTATGAACACTTATGAAATCACCAGTAAAACTACAAAAGAGATTACGAAAGTATTTGTAGATAGTATGAATGGCATACATTATGATTCTAGCAAAGTTGGTCATATAGACATGGACTTCGGGCATAGCTCACAAGGCAATGATTTAGAAAGTAAGTATTTAAAAACAATTTTTATAGTTTATTTTTAATATTTTTAATTTAATTATAATAGTAATAACATTTGCTTTTAATTATCATTATCCATTATCACTGATCTTTGGGAATATATCTTGGATTTTTTTATTCATTAATAATTTTTTGAACAGTAGGTAGTATAGATTTAAACTTATATTAGTTCACATCAGCACGCAAAAATGGAGATATACACAGAGAAAACAAAATATCTCTGCAATATGAATACAAGTAGTACTGAAACCTAACAACAAGAATTATACTTTTACTAACTTAGTTCTGATTCGTTGCTGACCAAGTCTAGCAGCTTCCTCCACTCTGCGCGATCGATAGTTTGCTATCGCCAGTTGGCACTCTGGAGTATCTTTCGATTATTGATCACCTGGTGTTTCCACCAAATATTTGAACCTCCTCTTCCATATTTTTCACCACCCGGTACCAAATCAAACACCTTTCTTGTCGGAATATTTTCTTTCATTTGCATCTCAGGATAAAGCCAGCGAGGTCGAAAATTTTTATGCAGTTAACTATGTCAATATTTTAGTATAGCTCATACAGGTTTTCGTTGCATAAAATTTTTTCTATAAAATATTAAATCCTTCTCAATTATCAATTAATCTAATCCTCAATTAATCTATAGAAAAAGCCCGTATTTAAATTTTATTTTATTTTTCAGTCACTTAGTTCTGTCCAAAAAATTAAAAATGAGTATATCTAACCAATTGAAAAAAAAAGAAGAGGGCAGATAGTGTTGTAAAAAGTAATTTATTTAAAATTTTTTGTGGAAACCAACAAAAAAAAGGAAAAATTTGGATGAATAGGGGGTATTACTCTTAGATCCCTCTTTTCATTATGAAATGTCTCTTCATACACATTTTGTTATCTGTTGGCTTTGATCATGAGACTATATCTCAATTTGCTTTGTAGGTAGGTTTAGTTTTATTATGACGTGATTGAATGACTGATGCATAAACGAATAAATTTTCTGGATTTGATGATCAAGATGGCGTCAATCATATAATAAATCAATTATCAAATACAGAATTTCACGATGACTTAAAATATCAGTCCTAGATTATGAGAATAGGTCTTAAAGTTGTAGTATTATATTTTCTTCAGCAGGATAATAATAATCTAGTGATAGTTTTCATTCTAGTATTTTATTCATATTTAATATCATTCCGATAGAAATGTGTAATTGATATTTTTATCCATATTTCTATCGTCATTGATACGTCATTTTCATTCGAGTATTTTATTTATATTTAATATCATTCAGAGAAAAATATCTATAACATATTTCTATCGACATTGAAACTTGTTCATCTTGCTATGAGTTTATTCTATTTCAATCGTCAGTTAACTCTGTCTAATTATAGAATATGGGCAAATAAAACAGAGTGGAGAATGTCAGTGGTCAAAAAAATCTCTAAGTAAAGAATAAAAATTTTTACTACAGATTTAAAAGATTTAAAAACCTCTCAGTATATTTGTATCTTTTCTTACCACTAGAACTTCAGTACTGTAAATATATGTAATACATTGAACAAAATATAATTACACTAAGTTGATATGTGATAAATATTCGCATATTATTGAAAGAAAATTTTATGTCTTATAAGTCCATCTAAATATAGTAATAGGAATGCTATTATTTTGAAGTACTAAGTATTATTACAAATAAAATTTAATATAATTTCAATATTTTTATCACTTATAGATACTGTAATGGTTGCATCAATGACACGTAAACGACGTGAGCTCGCTACAAAAACTGCAACGAAGGATCAATATGCACGTTTACAACATGTGAGGGCATATGATTTACTAGGTGATGATTTGAAGGATAGATGTCCCGTCAATCGTACAATTGTTTTCAATTGTCAGGATCCAACCACCACAAGTTGTATACGTGCTGTGATGCATGTGTACAATTATAAACCCGATAAGCCTATTACAATCACAATGAAGTATAATGTCGATCTCAAAGAAGTTAATCAAATTTTAATTGAACCTTGGGATTATTTTGTTATACACATTGGACTGGATATCGCAAGAGTGGGAGACAGCGATGGAAAATCAATATCAGTTGTTAAAAAAATTGAATACAACGTTATATCGAAATATCAACTTTATAGCACACCTATTTGGGTGATAATCTTGGCAGTAATCGGTGGATTACTGTTATTAGCTCTCATGACATATCTTATGTATAGAGTGAGTAGAATAGACTAATCGATATTTAAAGCAGAGAATATGTGAAATTACTTTTGTTTTATTTTGTCAATTTTTAGTATGGTTTCTTCAAACGATCCACGAGAGATGAAATGGATAAATTGGTTAATCAAAACCAAGCTGGTGCTGATGTTGAACCAGAAGCAGAAAATCTTAACACTGAAAGAAACTAATGTGGCCGGACCCATTGGCAAGACGTTTCTGTTTTGCTGCTGTGTGTGTCTTTATTCTGTAAATAATTTCTGACGCGCTGTTAACTGCATCCAAGGGACTTGCAGTATTAAAGTTTAATTTTAAAACAAAACCATCACAAACTTTTAAAGTTGATGTATTTTAAGCGAGTATTTATAATTTTTTATTTTATTTTATTTTAATTTTTAGAAGTATTTTGAAGTGTTTTTAGTCTTATTTAAGCAATTTAAGCAATGATACCAAATGTAACTACTTTGCAGTTAAGTTGTTCTCTATTTCTATTATTTATTTTTGAATAGTCTTCGATTTCCATTAAATGTGTTAATTAAAAAATTAGTTTTAAGCAAAGCTGCCATGAATATATTATATATAGAAATCAGTATATATATGAGTATATAAATATAATACATATATATAAATATTCAATGATTTTTGTAAGAAAAGACTTGTTTGTTCACTATTTGGCTTAGCGTAAGTTTACAATTAAATTTTAAGAACTTAAAAACTTTGTAAAATTTTATACATAAAAATAGAAAACGAGTATTAAAATATATTTAATAAATTTAAATATTTTTTATAATTAAGTAAATTTTGTTTATTTATTGATAACATTTTCGTTAGGTAAGGTCAAAGCGATCTACTTACATTTATTAGCATATTGTGTTCCATATGAAACTTGAAGAGTTTGTAAATATCTACAACCTTTCATAAAGCTCTTTTCGGAGAGGTCTTGAGCTGACACTTTTAAAGATAACTTTTTAGAATGTTTTGTTTTCATATAATATGAATTTAAAAAGTTAAGCAATTAGTTCAGATTCAAAAATATTTTGCAGCTCATTAGTAAGAAGAATATATTTGTATTACTAAGTGAAAGATGTAAACTAGATTTATAAACATATAAAAGATTTTAACACTTTAAACGATAACACTGAACATTATGTACATAACTAAACACATAGTTTTAGAATCTATATTTTTTTTATAGATTCTATTTAATTATTTATTCAAATCTGCCGAAACACGACTTTATAATACGAGTCTACTTTTATAATTGCAAGCTTCGAGCACTCACTCTACAAAGAATAGGTGTTCTTTCATCTGTGTAGAAATAGTTTGCTTCGCGTTGCCACATTATGCTACTCCTGTTATTCATGATACTTATATATAGCATATTATGTAACAATATATTAAAATTTTGCTAAAGAATTTTAAAAAGTAAGATATTCTCAAAATATAATACAAATAATATAATTTACTAATGATAATGAATATAATTTAAAATTTAGGGTTACACTGGGTTGGCTATATTAGTTCGATCCATTTAATTAACAAAAAATGGAAGTGAAAAAAAAACTTTATTTGTTTTTCCATTTAAATATCATTTGACTAAACTTTTAAGAGACATGACTTTTTGAAGACCCTTTTTGAAGACACCCTCTTAGATCGATTGTCGTAAAGTGCATGATTTTGAGCATTGTCAATCATATTTTCTAATGTTTTGGTTGCTAAAATATAATGGCTATTTTTTGGTGGATGTTGGTCTTGCATTATTGGTATAAACCTCTCACTTCAATAAGCCCCTCAGAAAAAAATCTGGCTGTATCCACTCGGGTGATTGCAGTGGCCCGATAACGCACTTGATTGACAGTTTTATTGCAATTTTTCTAGTTTAAATTTAATTTTATTAAAAAAATAAAAAAAATTACTAGAATTTGATTGTTTTGGCAACCACAGAGAGTAATTGGACACGATTAACACAAATCATTCATTTATCGAGTGATCGGAATGTAGTGATGTATCTCAGTCTTTCACGATTAGTGCAAGGATTGTGATATAGTGCAGAATTTTATAACCATCTTTACTTTTAATTTTTCTTAATAAAATGTTTGGTTTTCTACAACTTTCGAGCACCTTCTAAAACTTATTCGTCGTAGACATTTATATTAGCGGCCGTGGTGATAATCGACGATCATTCCAATCTCAGTTTCTTTTTTTTTTATTCGTATATACTTTGTGAATTTGAATTTAATTATTTGTGAATAAATATATATAACGTTTTTAGAATCAGAGAATACGGTGTTCATCAATTTATTTTAATCTGTCTTATATATATTCAATCTATTTTATATGGTGACATAGGTTTAGATAACTTATCAGGTTACTTGCCAGTAGCTTTAGCTGTATTTTATCAAGAAGGAGTGTCATTTTATAGTCAAAGGACGGAACAGCTTTTTAGCGTGCAGAATTATGGAGGCTCACAGGTCAAATTAATATAAATGATGATACAAAAAAGCGAATATATGGGTCGATAGAACATATATTACGTATATATATGATGGTACACATACACCGCGCTAACCAGAAACCCTTAAGGAACACGATGCAGAAGTAGACCTAGAATGACCTAGAGGAAAACAGTACACCACGAAACTGGTAAATCGTGAATTAAAAAACTTTTGTTGAATCCTTAATCTCCTAATGTAGTATGAAATAATAATATATGTACATGGTTATGTGTATTTCAAGAACAATTTATTTTTAAATATAAAAATAACTGGTATCTTAGCCGATATACATTGATAAGAAGGAATAAGTATACTTGATTTAAAACAGGGCAGTCCAAAGCACGGCTCGCTGGACACATGCGGCTCGCGGCAATGTTTGTGTGGCCCCCGACATATTTTTCATCTACTGCAATTACGAGAACTTTTGGTGTAGTCGTAAAACCACATTATTTTATTTTTATGGTATACCAAGTAAATAAATTTAAATTGATGAATTAATAAAATTTATGTATGTCTTTGTTTCTGTGGCCCCCTAATCTGTACAGTGATTGGTATTGGCTCGTCGTCACATCTGGTCTGGACAGCCCTGATCTAAAATCAATGCACTATAGATGGCGCCGCTTTAAAAAACTTATCTTATCATTTCAATGCACCAACCAAAATAAAATGTTTGTAAAAATTTAGCAACTAATTTGCCAGTTTGCAAAATTTATTTAAAATATAATAAGTTCTTCAATAATGATTTAAAAAATTTCATAGAAATCTTCTCCAAATGACAATAAATGCCATAGTCTGCAAGTTAGGTTTTCACTCGCAAAAAAAAGGTTTATAAAGTTGATTTGAACGACCATAAATTGAAGTTGTAAGAAAAAAAAAAATTTATAGCCTATAGATTTTTATTGGGTAGAATTTCTTTAGACACACTGTATCTCGAAATATATTGAAAATAGACTCTTCACTAACACGATTTTTTTTAATTTTGGACCGAAAATTCTCTTTTCTTTAATAAGAAACATCTTGTATATTATATAGGCTTATTTGATATAATAAATTAATATGAATAAAAACCGATTCATATAATTTTTTTTTATTTTTTGTGAAAAGAAAACTTCATCAATTTTATTATTAAAATTAGTCACGCATTAAACCTTTTCTTTACGCAATTCTTTACTACTAGTATGTAGCGAGTATATTATTTGGTGATAAGAAGTGAATATATATACATTATTATGCAGAAAATGATTTAATATTTAAAAATAAGATTTTTTTAAGCATCGCCCTAAGAGTAAAATAACAAAAAGAAATTTTATTTTTGACTACGACTTCAAGATATCTTACACTGGATATAAAAATTTTATTAGTTTTTCAATATTGTTTGACTATAAAAAATATACAGATATCTGATAAAACTAATTAATTTTAATGTCTAAATATATCAAATAAAATATTTATATCTTTTTTTTTTCTCCATATCTACGTATATTTTTATTTTATTAATTATCTACTCCAATGAAGTGAACATTTTACCATATTATGCAGTTCAAATTTTATATAAAGTTCAAACATTGAAAATAATTAGTAAGAAAATTTAAATATAAAATTTTTACTAATAAATTAAGTATTTATTTTCTTCTATTTTTTCTTTATATAAAGAATATTCTTTACATGTTTTAAAATAAGAACAAAATTTAAAGCAATCTAAAGCCGATAGTCTCAAATGAATATCAGTTCAAATATTTTCTATATTGACAATAAAGATATATAATATTTTGCGATTTATTTAGATATATTATTTTGAATATAATTCGCATTACGATACTCTTAATGTAAATATATGCATTCAATTAGTATGTAGGGTGCTAACAATTTAAAGAGCAATTAACTATTTCAAGTTCAGTGTGTTTTAAAAGATCGACTTAAACAATTGCGTTATGTTTCACAAAACTAATTTATTTTCTTCATTTTACATCATTCATTTGGTCAGTATTTGGACATGTGCCTTTAACTTATCTCCAATTCCAAGCTTAAAAATTGAGGATCCGCGACTTACAACAATAATCGAGCAAACGAGAAGTTCATATTTTGGATATACAATAGTTTTGAGGGAACAAAGGTAAATATTCTTATTCTGTTCAACGACTTTTTCAACATCAGTAGTCATTTTCATTCTAACACATTTTTTTTGCTTAAAATCTTTGAAGAAACTCGGTTATTAAATATATAAATCTTTATTAGTCTTTTTTCTTTATTTACTATATAAATTTCTATATAAAATACTTCAAAACCATTCTCTCATATAACACTTGAATTCAAATACCTCATGGAACGAAATCCCTCCCCATCGAATATATTTTTAAAGTGTACTTTCATCAAATTTTTAAAATGATCTTGTGTATTTTAGTATATTAATTGGAGCGCCACGTGCTCAGTCTACTATAATTACACAATCCTTAATCGATGAAACTGGTGCTATATATAAATGTGCTAATAGCGGCAAAGATCCTAATTGTAGACCATTTATATTTGATAGTAAAGGAAATGAAATTACACCCAATGGTTTAAGTAAATATAATAAAACTCATCAATGGTTGGGTGCTTCAATGGCTGGTGGACCAAAGGAAACCGATCAATTAATTGTTTGTGCTCCAGGATACGCGGGCAAAGTCGATATAATGGGACTTGAGCCGTACATGCATGGCATTTGTTATTGGACTCCAGACACATTGTCGAATAAACCAAAGAACGTTAAAGAATTTGCATTTCTAAGGGACAACAGTAATAATATTAAATATTTAAAATATTTAATCATACCAAAAATAGCTTATTTTTTTTATTTATAAATATATAGAAAATTTGCAAGTAAAACAGGTTAATGCAACTGGTGTATATTTCTATCAATTGGGACAACAAGGGTTCAGTATTAATATAACACCAAACAATAAAGAGTTTTTATTTGGCGCACCAGGCACTAATGAGTGGAGAGGTAAGTAAAATCTCAATTCAATGTAATTCTCTCAATAATGTTTAATGTGTAATAATATTAAAGGATCTGTAATACGTTACAATAAAATTAATGGGATAGTTACAATTTCTGAAATAAATAGCGACGCAAATGCTAATGGCGGTTATGCTGTGGCTTCCGGCTACTTCGATAAAGACGACCACTTAAATAAAAAACTTTTATATGTTATTACCTTACCACATGGAGATGTATATTCCAGAGATGCACATTCACAACTGGGTGCGGTAAGTGCATTATTGTTATTGGAAGTCATGTCTTATAATAACTGCTTGGCAGGCTTTTTTATTCGATTACATTGAGCCAAATAGTATTAACAAAACTGCAGAATTTTCGGGCATGCAATATGGAGAATTTTTCGGTTATACTGTTCTTGCTGTGGATATAACAGGTGATGGATTAGATGACATTTTGATATCAGCTCCTTTGCATTCACTTAACGATTTAACAGATGTTGGTGGAGTTTATGTTTTCTTAAATAAAGGCAGGGTAAGTAGCTACTATTTACTATCTTATTACTGCTACTTTTAAATAATTACATTCTCAAAAATTTTCTGAATACAATTTATAAATTTTAAATATTAAACACTCTATGCATTAGTTTCGAAAACCTATGAAACCAATAAATTATTTAACAGTGGGGATACCTAAATTTGGTTAAAGATGTTAAACATGAGGCCAGAAATGATAAACGTGCTTTCAAAAAGAATTTCGCTTCTAAAGCTGATGTAGTGATTTGAAAACTGCTTTTGATTAGTTAGGCGAGCTCCTAACAACAGAAGAAGGAAAAAAAATTTCGTGCTAGCACGAACATTTTCAAGAATCCTTGAACCAACTATTAGATAATATCTCAGACGATGTCGCATTGGTTATCTTTCCACCAAGTCGGCACCCTAACATCGGAGAAATTATACAAGCTATAACGCAACTGAAAAATGAAAAGTCTAACGGATCGGATAATATACCAGCGGAGTTCTTTAAAGCAGGTGTGAATGCTGTGACTAATAATTTGTTGAATTTGTTTAAAGAGATCTGGCGCATTGAAAATATACATTAAGAGTGCAAGCAAAGCTTCATAATTAGGTTTCCAATAAATGGCGACAAGGACTACAATAATTGGATAGGAATATCTCTAATGCCTGTTAAATCGTGTCCTCCTGCCACTAGATCAAAAATTGTGGAAAGAACAAGCTATATTCGCCTTGATCACATCAATGAGATTAATAATAGAACAATGCAACTAACTTAATAGCTCGCTCCTTTTTGTATTTATAGATTTTGAAAAAGTTTTCGATTCACTCGACAGGAAATCTATGTGCGCAGCGTTGCGATACATAGGAACGCCTAAGAAAATAGTAAATTTAATTCGCGCTTCATATCATGAGACCAGTGCTCGGATCCTACACAACGGCAACGTAAGTAACAGTTTCTTCACGCGCACTGGTATAAAGCAAGGGTGCCAACTTTTGCTATTAATATTTGTAATTATTCTTAATGCTGTTCTCAAAAAAGTAACGTATAAAAAACGGGAGGATGGTTTGGAAAGTTAACCAACACCTTGAAGTTCTGGACTACGCTGACGACATAGTGCTCTTCTCTTCGAAAAGAGAACATCTACAAGCAAAAATTAATGATCTAGTAAATATCGTACATAAAGTTGGACTACGTGTTAATGTTGCTAAAACCAAATAATGCATCGTCAAGAGTACATCAACATCTCCTTCTACAATTAAGGACAGATCCATTGGATACGTCGATGAGTTCTGTTATTTAAGTAACTAAGTTAATACATGTGGAGATGCAGTAAGAGATGTGAATAGCAGTATACTAAAAGTCAGAATAGCGTGCAGTAATCTTCGTAGTATATGGAATTCAAATGAAATATCTCCTCAAATAAAAACTCGTGTCTATAAAGCCGGTGTAAAATTCGGTTTTATAGACCTGGATCTGAAACTTTGTTGATCAACAATGAAATACAAAGAAAATGTCTAAGCTTTATTAACAGGTGCTTGCGTAATAATTTGATAATTTGAAGGCCACGTAGGATATCAAATATGGAACTACTTAAACGAATAAATCAAGAAGATATCAACAAACAAGTTAAGCGTTGGAAATATAGTTAGCTTGGCCATTTTTTTCGAAAGCCGTATGATGAAATATGCTACGCAACACTTTAATGGAACCCCAAAGGCAACAGACGCAGAGAAAACCACGTAACACATGAAGAAGAACGGTAACAAATGAAACCGGCATAAGTTTTAATGAATTACGTTTTATTGTTAGAGATAGAAATATTTGGAGATTATATGTAACAAATCTAAGCTCCTGTTGGAGTACGGCTAATAATAATATGGAAACAAAAGTTATTACTCGAACATCAGTAGTTAAAAAACATTTTAATTTATCTGAGTAGTGGTAATGTTAATGGTAAACATGGGAATTATTTACTACGAACACATATATTGAACTTTGATATTTTTCAACCCAAATGACATGATAACACATATATAAATATGGTTTTTTTTCTTAGATTCTTAATTCTATAGAATAAATATACTTTGTGAATTTATACTTGCGAATTTTGTGAACTTTTACTAATTATAACTTTCTGTAGTTTGAGAGCAAAATCTCGCAGAGGTTCCGATTTTTAAAGCAACTTCAGATAATTGCATATTATAACCACAATATTTGCATTGAATCGTGCGTTGAATATACTTAATATAATTTGCTATATATTAATTATAACAACATCTTGACTGAATTCATAAATATTTTTAGATGCTTATTCAAGTTCATATAAAATATAAAAATATTATAAGTACAGTGCTCGCTTCAAAACACCGACTTACGGGAATACTTTGTGATGTGAACACTTTTTTCTTTACATTTATTACTTTACAATGTGTACAAATTATGAGTAAATTATGAGTAATATTAAAATTAATATATTGGAGAGAGTTGTCATAATGGTTTCCTTAATATAAAAAAATAATTTCGAGAGTATAGAAGACAAAAACAAAATTTATAAAAAATTTGACTTACCCAATTTTTCCTATACTTGCTGCTGCTGCTTCGATCGTCGTGTTAATTTTCTGTTATTTTTTACGGTGTAAGCTACTAAAATATTATTTATTTCGAAAATTCTGTTGTATAAAAAACATTTAAATATAATTGAATTAATACCCATTTATATGTAATTCATTAAAGATATATAAATAAATACTTTGGTTAATAAGTATAGCACTTTTAATATAGATTTTGTATATACACACACGTATATTATTTTTATTGTAATTAAAAAATCATTTATTATAATAATTTTATAGTTGTGGATAATGTATTTTATGTACGGTATTATTTATGTATATATAACTTACATTTTTTTATTTAAATCAATACTATTTTATTATTTTACTAGTGATCCTTGTAGATTTTGTAATTAACTGAAACTTTCGCATTATATTATATTATTTTTATTATCTTTATATTATCTTTATATTATAGTTTATTCAAAACACTTTTTTAAAAAAAATTGTAATTTGTAATTTGAACTCGAGAAAAATTGATTGATTAACGCTTCAATGCAACCAAACACCAGCCATCAACGCGAATAACTAAATTATTAATAAAATTATAACAGTTATTTTCTTTAACTGCAAACCAGCAAATAATCTTTAACATAAAAATAGTTATTGTAATTGTTTTCTTTTTATTTTTTGTTATTATTCCATGTTAAACATAGTACAGTTCATTCATTATTTTTTTGATATAATATATAAATAACAAAACCCAAATGTATACCTAAAAACAAAAGCACACAATCAATGCATACTTATATGCAATGTTATTGAATATTATGTTTAACAGTATGCTGAGAAAACAATTAACAGAATATATTTAAATATTGCAGTGGACAAGCTTATTCTTTAACAGAGCCAAATTATAGGTATTAACATTTTTATGTTGTTGGTATATGTTTAATGTTATTTCCCTGTTGATTGAATGAAAAGTGTACATTCTTTAACAAAAATGTAAAGCAACATTTACAAAATATCATATTAGCATGGTGGGCTTTTCTGAAAGTCTTTTTACAAATAATATGTGACAAAAAAAAACTCCCATTATACAAGATTGAAATTAATCTTGTATTAACAACTAATTAACTAATCCAAACTGATATGATTACATTAAATTAATATTAATAAAATATTTATTTTTATTATAATTTATAATACCATGAACAAAAAATAATATAAAATGGTTTATAGGTTTTAAAATCTTTATTTATACTTCTAAGTCCACAACGTTAAAGTACTTTTCTTTTTTGTTACTATGCTTATACTTATACCAACGTAAGTGGGTATAATCCAGGAAATTCCAGTTTTCTAATCCTGGAAGTTATTATTATTGAAGTCGATTTTCAATGTTTTATTTATAATATATATAAAATATCAATAACTGAATATTCATTTTGTATTCGATTGAAATTTATTATTTCCAAGACAATGATAAGGTTCTAATTTCCGTCGACTTTTCACACACGATTAGCTAGTGGGTGATGAGTACATAAACGTTTGTAGTCGACAACGTTATTTCAACAATTTAGGAGATGTACACTACCTTTTTGGAAGCTTAAAACAGGTCTTGATTAAATTCTTATTTGGCAAAAATAACGACAGATGAGATTAAAAATATTATTATTGGACACAAGACTTCGATATATACATACGGTCTAGAAATAATCAACATTTCAGAAATTTAAGAGTTGCGCAACACCTTTCTTGAAACAGGGCTTGAATAAATTTTTAGTTGGCAAAAAAAACGACACATGAGATTAAAAATATAATAATTGGTAACACGACTTCGATATACATATACGGTTTAGAAATAATGGACTAATCAACCAAATACCCTGGAAAAGATGATCAACCCCGAAAAGATTGCACCAAAATTATATGAAAATCAAGGTAATGGAACTTTTCTTCGATTATCATACTATGGTCCATCATGAATTTCGTTTACCGAAGACTTAATAAATATTTAGAAAATTATAAATGGGTTTAACTTAAATTTTAATCATCTTAACAAAGTTAATATATTTAAATAAATTCTTGTAACGAGAGTTTCAAAAAACAAATATATATAAATATAGACAATATAGCAACTTCTCCAGAATGACTATATAATCGTATAATTGAAATTTAAATAATAATAAGTGTAAATTGCAGTAATAATTTTTTTTTTAATATATAATATTTAACATTAAAAAAAATAAACAAAAATATTTCTTTTTGTTTCTAGTTTAAGTTCTCTCGTACATTTTTCACATCCCCATTTTCAACGGAGGGAAGGTTTGGCACAACAATGTCCAGTATTGGAGATATAAATTTAGATGGCTATAATGGTAATAATATTATTTACATATATAACTTTAAGTATTATATAAAAATTTATAATTACATGTAAATTTAAGATGTTGCAATAAGTGCACCATTTGCAAATAAATATGGAGCGGTTGCAATATATTTAGGTGGACCAACAGGATTAAGAAATAAACCTAGTCAGATAATAAAATTAAATCAAGAAATGTATATAAATGGAATGTTTGGACATGGCTTATCGAATGGAGCTGATATAGATGATAATGGTTACAATGATCTTGCAATAGGTGCTCCAAATGCCGAAGCAGTTTTTGTATATAAATCATTTCCGGTTGTTAAAATTATGGCTGAAATACGTAATGAAAGAGTAAGGATAAATGTTGAAGATAAAAATCTTATAATTCAAATATGTTACGCCTTCAAAACGAAATCAAAAACTCTTAACAAAGTGTTATTGGAAATTGATTTGGTAGTTGATCAAAAATTTAAACGTGTTAATATTTTGGATGGAGAGAACTACAAGTGGTCAGCGAATAAAACTGTTTATTTAACTAAACGTTGTACCAGCATTAACGCCTCTCTTTGGTTTTCATCTAAAGATGTTTTTGAGGCTATACCAATTGTCTTGACATATCGTTTAGTTAACGATGGTATAAAACATGATGGTTTAGGTCAGTGTAAATTAATACTATTTTTTTAGCTACTTCAATAATATTTTATTTAAATACACACGTAAAAGTTTTAAGTTTTCATATAATCTTCTCGTTTCTTGTTTATAGAATTCTGTGATGATTGCGTAGTTCTTGATCCCTTAGAAGTAACTATGAGAAGGCAATTTGTTCGATATATACACGGATGTATTAATACTATTTGTAATGTTGATCTAAACGTCATTTCAGAAAATATACCGTAAGTTTGAAGAATTTTCAAATATGAAATATATACATATTTATAAAATATATAACTCAGACGTTATGTTATGGAAAGTACTAGTTCATCTAACTTTATGGAAAGTTAGATGAACTAGTAGCTATTAATTGTTGTTTCAAAAACAGAATATTAATATAAAGAGAATATTATGCGATTTTATTTAGGTGACTTTTTGTGCTAACTCGGATTTTTTTGACCAATCAATAATTAATTAAGCATCAATAAGATGCTTTTGTTTAATTAATGCATGCTTATAATAATAATGATGGTTTAATTTTGTTCCATTTCTTGTATGGAGAAAAGAGTCCGTCCTCAAAATGAAAAACTCTGCTCATCATTAGACATGCATAAAAAATATATTGAGACATTTTTACATCCATTTCCATCAACCAATAAATGACTATTCAAAATCCTTATAAAAATTATGATATTCTCTTTTTAATACACTGAGTCTATTTGAACCTGACTGGATAAGTTAGTAAATCTTTACTTTGGCTTATGTTAATATAGTATATCAAGTAGTTCTATAATTCCATCGAGTGGCTGAGTTTTTCAGAAATGTTTCCACTGGTCAAACCACAGAATTTTCAAATATTATTAACAAGACTACCAAAATGACATTAATATATGTATTAGAAAACAGTACTATAAAATAAGTCTTCTTTTAAGTCTTCTCTTGTTTTTTTCATAAACATAGTTTAAAATTATTTTTTTAAATTATTTTAGAAAAAATGTTATACTTCAAAATGGAAAAAATACTCTTTTCACAAAGTATATAATCCGCAATGAGGGTGAGAAGGCGTTTGATGCTACTGTTATCGTTTCTACTATACCATATTTACCTTTTGCAAAAGTTCCATCATTTTGTGTTGAAAATGTGGAAAACCAAGAAAATCTAATATGCTATTTATCCACACAACAAGCATTTACAGGTCAAATAACATTAGAATTAACATTTGATCTGGAAACTTTGGATTACACCGTGAATAAATTAAATATAAGAGTGGAGGCACGTAGCACAGGACGTGAAATAAGTCCCAATAATAATTTAATTGAGAATAATATCAAACTGCAGCGATATGTAGAAATTGATATAAAAGGGTAAGATATAATTTGTTCACAAAAGGGTAAGATATAATTTGTTCTTATTTAATTTTGAATTAATTTCGATTTTATACTAAATTCATTTTAATTTTAGAAATTCAAACGAAACAACAATTGATTGTGATAAATTTAAGAAAGTGGCTAAAATATTTTACGAAATAACGGTAATATCAAGTAATAAAAAAAATTAAATAGAACTACATTTTTAACTAGATAATCAATTTATATTATACAAATCTAGCTACAAAACAATGGTCCTAATACTATAAACGATTTCCAGTTGTGGCTTAAGATGCCCTTTATATATCGAAATGAAGAACTACAGAATTTATCATTTGCTCAAAATTTTAGCGTTGCTATGATTTCAAAGGACAACATTCGCACTATATTGTTAACTGAGTTTGAGGTGTCTTTGTCCAATTTCACAGAAGGCACTGAACTTGAGCAAACGCTACAAGAAGACGATAATAAAACTATTACTTTAAGTTGCAGAGACACAGTTTCAAATATATGTACTGAATCGCAAATAGTTTTACCGCTCCTCTTACCCGACGATGTGTTTAAAATCGAACTCTCCTATGATTTGAACATCACAGCTGCTAAGGAAATAATGAACGACAATTTCAAATACATAAAATTATTAACCGAAACCGAACTTAAACCAAAAATCCCACAAAACTGGTAAGTTGAAGCGTATCCTTGATTTGCATTTCATTTCATTTAATTAAGTTTTTAAGTTTAAGTTTAAGAAAAATTTTAGAAACTGATATTTTCTTAAAATTTCAGTCAACTGGTTTCTATATTTTATAAACAAACATTGAATATGAGAAATTTGAATTAAATTTAAATAAAAATTAATTTATGAATATTATAAACAAATTCATAACACCAAAGTGTGTGAAAATAGCTGTTATATAGTGACAATATGAGCAGAATATAATAAAAAAAAAATAGCTAAATTTTAAGAGTCTTTCCTTAAGACCACTGTCACTGACAAAATCGTCAAAATAATATTAACACATCACTCAATAAGTCGTGTGACTGATACACAGATGGTGTTGCCATTGTCAAATCCATATGACGTTTATGAGGTACCATCCTTCAAAAGACTACATGTAAAATTTCATGACATTTCATGTTATAAACTCACTTTCTACTACAACATATGCCATAATAAGATTGAAACCGGCAGTCTAAATCATACAAAATAATCAAAGTTTCAGAAAAAGCAATCACATGATTTAAAGAAAGATATATAAAAAAAATATAATTAACCAGCTGCCATAAACTAGCTGTAGAACAATTGAATTAATTAATTATATTTTTATTTTTTAATTGTGAAATTTCAATACTATTCTGTTTGTAGAGGCATTATTTATTGCATAATTTGTTCTTTATAATGTATAGAACCTAATTTAGGCAGGTAATGCTGAGAAAGTCATGCTAATGTTACTCCATTCGTCAAACGGGCGAGTAAAATAAAAATAAATAAAACAGAAACAAAAAAAATATATATAAATAAAATAAAAATAAAGAAATAATAATAAATAATATAAAAGTCAAATAAAACATGTAAAGCAACAATGAGATAAAAATAGAATGAAAACAAAATAAGATAAAAATAATGTAATAAAGATAAAAAATTAAAAATAAAAGTAAATAATATTAAAATGAAATAAAAACCCAAAATAAAATAATAAACTATAATTATTTTATATATAAAATTAAATAAAAATAAAGTAAAGTAAAAATTAATAGCTGCAAAAATCAACTTCATTACAAAATAATATTAAGTGAAACCATAATAAAATAAAAAAAAAATATTATAAATAATTATAAATAATATTATAAATAAATAAAATAAAAACAAAACTAAATAAAATATAAATAACAGCAAAAAATTAAAATAAAACGAACGCAATACAAATTAAAAATAAAGCGATAAAGATTAAAAATTAAATTAAAATGAAATAAAAACACAAAATAAAATAATTATTAAAATAAACAAAATTTTATGAAATTTAATAATTAATTTTAATAATAATTAAAATTAAATTAAAATTAATTTGTACTTAAATTCTGGTAACAGCCGCAGCTGCCAAAGTTGGTTCTGCTCTGGAAAGAGAGACAGACCGTGCTAAAAAATTAATAAATTAATTAATAGATTTTTTTAAAAAATTATATGAATATATATATTATTATATATAATATAATAATAATATAATATATAATTAATATAATATTATATATAATTACATTCTGAACAAATTTCTAGTACGAATATAATAATATACATAATATAATATATATTAATTATATATGTAGGGCTGTAATAGTTCGTCTACTAGTGCATACTTTTTATATTGTTGACATCATTTAAAAAGGGTTTATATTATTAACATTTTAGGATACTTAACATTAATTCAGCAATGGAATCAACAGTAATTGTTTATAGGCCAATAAAGAAGACACCGCTTTGGATTTACATTATCTCTGCAGTTGGCGGTTTATTACTTTTAGTTATTTTAAGCAGAATATTGTCTAAGGTAAAAAAATTATAATTTATTCATTAATAATAAATTTATAATAATAAATTATTATATAGATGGGTTTCTTTAAACGTCAAACGAAAGAAGAAATGGAAGAACGTCTGTTAAAAAAAACTGAAGTGGCTAGAATGAAAGCTGAAATCGATGAATGTGATTCTAATATTGAGAATAGTCAAGCTACTTTAGATTAACAACAAAAAAAACCATTTATACATTTAAAAACAATTATTTGAAGTTAATTTTATTATCCAAAATGCTATTTTCAAAAATGTATACATCATATTTTTTTTTTATATATTTGCTCTTTTAGTTAGAATTTCCTTAACAAAACTTAGCTTATAACTTTTTTAAGTACTTAAACAAATCTTAACTAAACATTATCTTTGACGATATTTACAGAACATCACATTTAAGAAAATTATTTGAAATACTTAAATCGTAAATTTTAAGAAGTTTATATTAATAAAATAATTTTTTTTTATAGATATTTAACATTAAATATATTCTTTTCTTTCTATTTGTTAAATGATACATACATACATAATACATACAATTTGATATATTGAAGTTCTAGAGAATTTTATAGTCCTAACAAACCTAGTGAACTTTACTTGAATTATACATAAATGTTTATATATACAAGATATGTATATATGTACAGCTAGCAGAGTGCAGAGCATTTGTACATACAATGCTTTACTAAAACTAGTATATAGTGTTTAGATTTTTATTTGATTTTAGTTTAGTTTAGTTTAATTTAGTTTAATTCAGTTAAAGATATGTACTGGTAAGTAATGCTTTCAAGTGTTTATTTAGTATTTTTTACTCGTATGATAGAATTTTGAGACAATTTTGAGACAAACAATTAAAGTCAATTCTCTGATGTATGAAATTTTTTAATAACTCTTTTTATATACATACATATATATATGTATGTATAGCATTGAAATAAAATAAGTAATTTTATATATAAAACGATTCTAATTTATTTTACAACATTTCGGAGCAGAGGTGCTTATTTTTAATTAATTAACGTATTTAAAATTTATTAATGATTTAACATGCGATATACAAATTCTAACACATATTTTATTGTTATTTGTAATATAATAATTAATTATTTTGCGTTTTCTTTTTTTGGGTACATGTTTTTTATAAATATTTTTATAAAAAATAATTTTTTGTATTGTCAAAAATTATCATCATTTTAATGCTCAACTTTACTAAATTTTAATCGCATGCAAAAAAGTTCGCAATTTGCTTTTAAATATATATATATATATATATTCTTTTAATCTGTTAAAATGATTTGATATTGATATGATGATTTGAGTTCATGATTAACATTGAATATACATTTATATTTAATAAAGTAACTAGCTTTCTTTAAATATTTTTATAATTTAAGTTTCAAATTTATAAATTTAAAATTTAAATATTTATTTATTTGATTTTTAGTCAGTATTTTTGAATTTAAAAATCTCTTATAAAATAAAAAACTCATTTTTTTTAAACTACAAAAACAAATTTTTGTTTTAAACCGAAAATATTATTCGTTACTGTTATATATTTATTTTTAAAGTCATTAAATGAGAAAGTTATTAGGAATTCAATTCTTGTAAAAATTTTTAAAAACTGTTTCTTATAATTCACTATTTTTATGACCAAATTTTATTTATATATTTTTGAATGGGCCACCCTGACTATAGACTATAATCAAATTATTGTTGTTAATAAAATATATTTTTTGAAATATATTTAAACAGTTGATTATTATTTAAACAATTGTTTAATTAACCTGTTCCAAAATATATAAAACTATTTTTTAAAAAAACAATTAAAACTCTAAAATAAGTAAAACAAAAACTATAGAAAAATAGATGTAGATATACCAAGCAACCACTCTTGCAAACAAGCCGGCTCAGCTGGGTCCGGAAAGTGTACCTATTATGATTTGATTTAAAGTTTGGCTAAAATAGGGAATTTTAAATAAAGCAGAAAGCAAATATCAGCATTTCAGGCTCACATTAACATCTAATTAAACAAGAATAGAATATAACACATCACTATATCATAAGCCTCCAACTTAGCTAAGAAAATAAATTTTATGTTATAAATTGGACTCTTCTTCAAGAGTGATATATGTATTTTAACGCTACTTTTGATGCCATTAAACAGAACGATAGACCACAGTGTCGGCAAACACCCTTTTGAAAGTGGTTTTCTATGAGCATCCTTCTGATGTCTAGTATCAAGTAGACGTATCACGTCTGGTAACAAGGAGCTAGTACTCGATGACAATCAATTTAGAGATTGCAGCGGATGAAGCAGCAATTAGAAGCGAAATTCGTTCAAATTAGCTATCGTTTTATCGATTTGTAACTTGTTGTTTATAGTGCGATGTAAGCTATGTAACATTTTTAGTATAAAATTGTTAGACTATCTTCTTATGACATCAGAAGCTATCCTTTAGAGTTTTCCAAAACTACTCTGTGGATTTTTTTTATAATTTTTTAAAGCATTTGCCCATTTTGAGTGAGCAGAGCTATCAACATCATCAATTTTTGTATGATCGCATACCAATCAATAATACTGGATTTCTCTAGAACAGACTCATTTTAACGCTCATCAAGCCGCTGTTTGGATGCTCACACGACACTAATTCAAGTATGCACTCTCTTAAAACAAATGTAATATATATTTTAACAGAAAGATATGTTTAAACAGCTGTCACAGTAGATCAACCAAATGACACCATTGAGTAACTGTGCTTTACACTCTAACACTTGCTTCAACAATTAAAGCGGAAGTGGAATGTCATTAAATTATATGTGTCACTTAACGGATGCTATTCTCCATATATCATATGGGTTTCTCTAAAGTGTTGCAATTGCAATATATATGACAGATCGGAGACTTATTGAGTGATATGATATATAAAGATCTAAATGGGGAACAATAACTAATATATAGCACTAAACTTTAAACTTTTTTTTGTACAAATGAAGTTGTAACACCTTGTTAAAGTACAGCGGGTCATTATTTAGTCTAAAGTAGAGTGTATGTATAAGACTATTACTCAAAACTAACATGTGGATACAGCCCAATTTAGGTATATACGAATATTTAATCATAGATGGTACTAAAATAATTAGATGCGTAATGTTCTCGTACGCAATCCAGTTGCTTTCTGTAGTATAACCAATTATGGTTATCTTTCTTATGACAAGTTATTATTGTCTTATTCTCATCCGTCATCCTGGCTTTGTCATCAAATTCCAAAGGAAAATTATATAATTATATTTAGAATAGTAGTAACTCTGCTATTTTTTAGGTATATATGAATATAGATTGCTTTTTCAAATATAATTTAAATATTGCATTATTTAAAGTTTCACATATATAACAGTATCAAATAAACAAAAAAATCACATTAATCACATATTTTTTGTTAAGTAAATAAATTTATGAATAAATACTAAAATTTATAATTAAAATTTTTATAACATATGACAAAAAATCTGTATCAAATAAAAGAGTTGAATAAATTTTAAAAATTCTGTATCGAAATTAATTAATTAATTAATTAAGTTCTGTTAACAAATTCAAATTAAGTCGTTATGTTAAATTTACATTAGAAATAAAATATTTTTACATTTTTTATCTAAACAAATAGTAAAAAGAACTAGGTTAGTTCTGTATTAAAAGATTATAGTTAAAACTCTCCTATGTGGTGAACATTTTTTTAAGACCAATTTTTTTTTCAATTTTTCAAACAACTTAACTCTATTTGTCCGGGTACTCTGTTTGAATGGACTCTTGCTTAATAAGAGAGTTTTTACTCTATTATAATTTTTTTTTTTTTATGACATATTCAATTCAAATTTCATTAATTTGTTTCGTGATAACAGAGAAAGTATTGCGGTGGCTTGAATATTTTAAATTAATTAATAAAATATTAATTTTTTCTTCTATTTAAAAAAATATATATATTTTAAGCATATTTAAATTATACTATATTTTTCAATATATATTTATAATAAAATGTTTTATATTCTTTGCTAAACAATCAAGAGTTCTAAACTACGATGAAAGATTATTAAAAAAAAGCCGATGGATTTTAATGAATGAAATTTTTTTTTAATTTTCTAATCGCAATACTAAAAAAATTCATTTATAAAAGTATCTAAACATTATATAAAAAAACTATGCTTAAACTACACACTAATTTTAAAAAAAATGGCATTAAAATCGAAAAAAATTTTATATAGCAACAAACACACACACACGCATTAACATTTATTTACATTTCAAAACATTTATAAAAACAAAAATTCTATTGAGCTCTAGTATTTCATCTAAGTTTGCCACGGCAATGCTATTTAGCACATTGTCTCATTGTACGGTGGATCCTTCTCGGATTCAGTGCTACTCTTTATATTTAATGATAATTTGGCTATTTCATCTTGTACATTATGCGTACTTATCTGTGGTATAGTCAACAAACCACCAGCTGCACCAGTCAGGTCACCATCTTTTGATTCTTCTGTGCTGGAACTGCTTTCGTTAAGCACATTAAGACCCAATTTACCAGCCGGTGGTGGTGGTTTGAGTGAGGAACTTAGTTTGGCTGGTGTAGGCTTTGTTATAGCAGCACTTGAACTACTCGTATCTGCATGTGTAGCAGTTGGTGTTTGTTGCTGCTTACCTTGATCCAAGCTAAACTGTTTCTTCAATTGCAGTGCACGTGGTGGTGGTGGCTGCACTTGTGACATTATCGCCGAAGTCCCGATATCTAAGGAACTTGTACATTCACCGCGTCGGCGTCTGAGATCAGCAGCACCAACGGATGATGTACGTATCGGTTGATAACGTCCTGAAGTGCTAACGACACCACTAGCATAACCACTACTGCTAGTGCCACCAGCTGCACGCGTTGTACTGACAGCGATAGTTTCCACAACAGTTGGTACTGTTGTTTGACTTTGCATTTGTGATGGTGAATCGCCAGCATCTAAAGAAAGTTCAGGTGCCAGCGATATATTATCGATATTATAGGAACCAGTCATCGATGTTGTTGTATCATTTGAGCTTTGTTTGATGAAACGATATGGATGTGCAGAATAATCAGTTTCTGTGCTTGAATTCTTTTGTAAGCTTTCACTTGATTTTTTAAATAGCCGATGTGAACTTTCGTATGGTGCATTAAGGAATTCACTTGTGGCACGTGTTGGTACCACTGGTGATTGATATGATTGTTGCTGTTCCATTGATGAGTTTCGATGCCAGGGTCTTTCGTTTCGTATTTCGAAACCACTTTGACCCGTAGTTATTGTGGCTGCCGTACAGGTATATCCAGCGCTACCTGCCCCGCTTGTGTCGCTACTACCTGAACAACCTATAACATCACCCTCTGCCGATGGCTTAGAGGGTGATAGCTCAATAGCGGTCTCGCGGCGCAACGGATAACGGTGGCTGTAGTCAATGGATATACCGGTCTGAAAATCAAGAAAATAGAAGTCATAATTAGACAAATGTACATGTAATTAAGTTACAATACTAAGAGAAGGAACAAATGAAGAAAGATTTTAACTAAATATCTTAATGATGGCGAAATTAGCAATATGATTTTGAAATAAAAAATAGGTTTGGAGATTATGCCAAAAATATGTATATAAGTAAAATATTTACAATTATGCAAAATAAAAATGAAGGAAGAGAAATGTAATATCATGGAGTGTTAATAGCAAAAACGTTTGTATAATGTATATAAATTAGTATTCTCATAGAAAATAAAAATATTTTTTTCCTATTTAAAAACTTAACAAGACAATATTGAAAAAACTTTCAAATCCAATAAAATTTCTATAGTATGAATTATTGGTATGCGGATATAGCTTTATCGCCAAATATTCATCGACAATCGTCTTTGGAACTTTCTATTGGTTTAGTCATCCAAATGATTCAAGTAACTAACAGTTAATTATTAGTAAGTATTTGAATTTTTAATTGGATAAATAAGAGAAAAATTTAGCGGGTTAGCATATTCTTTTGCGTTACCTTCATGCAGACGGCTTTATAAGTAATGCTTTGCCTAGTAATAAGAGTATAATGTACCTTCGTTTCGTTTTGTGTTCTTTTTAGGATTTAAACAACTAATCCTGAATAGAATACTTAGAATACTTTTTAATAGAAGGTTACAGTTTACCAAGTTCCTTCAAAAAGGAGGATCCTAGATTTGAAAGACGACATCGCACATGTGCCGAGCAAGAACAAAACAGATGAAATACACACTTATCGTCCTCTCTACAACTGCGGCAGATATAATTGCAAGGGAGATTTAATCTTTTAGTCTGGATTTCTAATCTACAATGAACTGTGAGTAAACCTATCACAAGACTGATATCTCTACGGCGCATCTCAATGAGAGTATTGAATTTATTTTTAACAGAATGTAGTCAAATTGTATACCGATACCTACTTATCGTTAAGTTTTTCCATCTTTAATTAAAAAGTTCAGCACAGTAAGAAATCAGTAATAAAGTGAATAATGTCAGAAATATGTCCAGATTATTAAGATGATCCGAGTGATTTCTTAAAACACCTGGTCTAGGTAGTTCGTACACTTAGCATTTGCCCAAAATAACCCTGTAATCGGGAATGTAGATTAGAGAAATTTTAACTGCGTCGACATTTCGTTCAGAGATGTGTAGCAGTCAAAACTTGTTCTGGATTAAATTGGACTGAACTCCAGGATTTTAAAGTATATGATAGTATGAATATATATCTATAAAACACATTATCCACTATTAGATAAGTTATAGCTTTCCTAATAGCGATTATCTCCGCCTGAAAAACACAATAATGACTATAGTAAAAAGATTTGTTCAATTTGAAAAAAAAAAACTAATTGAAAAACTTGATTTACCATTAGACAAATTATATTATTTGAATGGTTTGAAGAAATAGAGGAACTGTTAATATATAAAAATCAATCAATCGGGAGTATTGTGTTTTAACTATGGTTTTCGAACTGCTTATTGACAATTTTTTTCATATATTACTGTCTACTATAACAAGATTAAATAAACTATATTATAGGAATAATATTTGTCTAATGAAAAAAATATAAGTGTATAGGGTATTGAATTTGAAAGATATATCTGAGACGCAAAAAAAAAAAAGAATTTGAATAATAAAAAATTCAGTAAAATTCAGTAAAATTTGGACACTTATTTCAATAAACTTTTTCAAGAAAATTTAATGTTTAAATCGATTCATAGCAACTTTTCACCAAATGCAACTAACTGCAGACTATAAACTGTTTTTCAGGTATCTTTTTTATATTAAACATAAATCTTATGAAAATGTTTAGTCTAGTGTAAGTTTTTTAAATCAATTTAAAAAATTGCATCTCAACTTTTAGTGAAACCAGTTTGTTTTTATTGAAAATTATTTCAAGACTTCCTTCCGTTGAATATCATGAAATTAGAATTGATTGCACTTTTATCAGAGAATCGTAAAGGTAGAAACTTTTCAAATGTTTTCTTTTTGCAACTACTCGTACTCGTATAAAATATCAGACCGTGAATGCAGTTATTGACTTTGAATAGACGTCGGTGAATGTATGTAAATTTGATCAAAATCACAATAACGAATTTTGATAGTTGATATTCGTTCCGAATATTAAAAAATAACACAAAATGAAAATAAGCTTTACGAATATTATTTTGTTATTCAATACTTTTGTGAAAACATCTACTATTATTTTTCCAAAAACTGTTTTTCCTGCAAGTGCTTGAAGATGGAAATGAATTTAAGTGGCATTTTTTAAACCAATATTTACAGGCGTTCATGATAGCATTCAGTTTGCAAAAACAAACAAAATATTTTTTCATCCATCGGAAAATGTGGTGGCTTGACATAAAATGATTACACCGCAGTGACCACAAACGGCGGTGATAGCTCGGCGACCAAAATTTTATTGTTCAATTACCTGAGGTTAATGAAAGCAATTAGTGAAGTTTTGCGGTTACTATTTACCCACAGAAGTAGTACTGGTGCTAATGAGTAATTTCTATTTGAAGTCATTATTGTTGATTTATATTTTTCAATAAAACTCGATTTGAGATAATGTACTTATTAAATCGAAAAATTAATGATAATTATTAACCTAATAAGTGAAAGTGCGCTGGAATGTGATATACTTAAACCAACTGGCCTATTTTAATATAACTTCTGCTCAAAAAGTACCCGGATTTTGTTGTTTGTTAACTACTCTTTAAGTAATAGACTTTTTTCAAATTTTTTTTTTTTGTTATGTTGGTACACCTTTTCTTGACATATAGTACAAATTAGAACGCCATCTGTCAATTAGTTTGTTTACAGCAGCTGTTAATGTGAAACTATCTAAAGTGGATTTAGTGATTTTTGTTATGGAAAATTCTTGGTGTACGCGATTTTTTGACCAAACACGGCATCACTGTCATCGCTCAGGCACCATATTCGCCACATCTGGCGCCGTGTGACTTTTTCCTGTTCCCGAAAATGAAATTGTCCCTTCGTGGTAAGCGTTTTGAGTCGATTGAATTGGTAAAAGAGAATTCGCTGAAGGAACTAAAAGCCATATCTTCACGGGCCTACGAAAAGTGTATGGAAGATTGGATTAAGCGTCGCTTCAGAAGGAGCACATTTTGAAGGAGATAAAATAAATTTGGAATAAAATTTAAATTTGTGTTTTATTTACAAAATCCGAGTACTTTTTTAGCAGAAGGTATATGTTTCATCGATGCATGTGACACTTTGTAATTACTGAGCACAAATTGAAATTAAGTATTTTTTATATATTTATTTTCCAAAGACTTATTTATATAACAATTATTATATATGGTTCCTTTCTAGTTTTAATTTTCTTTTAGTTTTACAAAAATTAATATTATAGCTGGCTTGGAGAAAAAGTCTGGCAGATAGCTGGCAGTTGGAGAAAAAAGTCGTCTTAGTAATCCGATAACAGAAGAAGGCAACAGTTGTCGCAAAAAAGCATTAAGTCAACTCGAAAATCAAAAATGAGTTGTAAGTCAAATGGGTGGGTCAAATAAGTAAAAAAGTAAGATGTCAGATATTCTATTAATTTTTTGTTAGTTGTTGGAAACTTTTTGTAAATAAATTAAGAATTCTATACTTTATTTGAAGAAGTAAAGACTTTTAGTGCCCATTTTACAGCAGTAAGTTAAGTCTTAAAACTGACTTAATTCTAATTTAAATCGGTAAAGTTTATGATTTAAGTATGGCTTGAGGTAGACTTGAAACGACTGTAAAATCAACCTTAGTTATTGTATTTTTTATAGTTTAAAAGGTACTTTTTTTTATTAATTATGAAATTAAAATGTTAAAATTTTGTTTTAAGGTCAATTATGGCAAAGAAACTAATTGCTAAATGAAAAATGACTGGTATATTAGTATTTATAATATTCACAAAAAATATATTTTTTGTTATGTATAATGAAAACTTATTGGTTATTTTAAAATATTTTAACAATAACGATTAAAATCCTTTATCTTATTTGCAGTGGTATTTGCAGTGTCATATTATATTTATATGAACAATTAAACCAATAAATATTTGCAAGGTTCAATGATTATAGATATTTGTTAATATTCGAAACCAGGGACCGTAACAGTCATCATAAACCAAAAAATCACCTTTTAACTGTTATCATTCGCATTTTTAAATAAAACTAAAAAAAATAATAATTAAATTTGCTTTATATTATATTTATATTATAGTTACAAAAACAACTAACCTGTATGAAAAATGCATTTTGTATTTTCGTTTTAAATATATTCGGCAGCCAGTGCCAGTTATTCATGATTTTTATATTTATAACGCAAAAGTAACAGTTATTTGTGCGTTTTAAAATAAAAAGCAGTATTTTAAAAGTTACTTCTGCGCAAATAAATAAAAGGCACATAAAATAATTATTTTTGAGGAATATAATATAAAGCAAATTTAATTATTATTTTTTGAGTTTTATTTTAAAATGTTCATATATATAAAAAGCATGCATAATATTAAGGATAAAAGTTGTTAGAATGATAACTATATACTTATATATGAGTTTAGACAACTTTTTGTTGTTGCTTTTTTTTATAAAAAATTTTGAAATAACTTATTTTCGGTCCCTGTTTGAAGTTTTAAATAGTTAGCCAAAAATGGGAATAAATTAAAATAATATATTGTAAATTTTTAATTTTCAAACTTAATCAAAAATTAAATTATTAATAATATAAAAAATAAAGTTTATTCATACAGTCATATTTATTCACCATATTTTTTTTTTGATATATGTAAAAAATACATTCAAATTTTTTTTTTTCATTTTATTATAATATTAAAATAATTTTCCAGATGAAATAATTGATGTATTCTTATGAGTATATAAAATATACAAATACTTAAACGTCAAAAATAGTTTTAAAATTTCAACCATATTTAATTTTTTTGATACCAAAAAGCTTTTCAATATTATCATATAAGTTATATCTGCTGTTCTTTAACTAAGTAAACTTCAATTGTTAATTATCAAAGCAAAAATAAATCTTTCCAAGTATCTTATCTCAATATCGGGTTGCCTTTAAAATTACTAATTATGTCACTGACATATCTTCTGAAAGACTTTTGACTTCATGCAATTTTTATAGTTAATTAACTATTTTGACACATTTTTTGTGGTTCATTAACGGTAACTGAGATATTCACATGTCAGTAGAAAAGAAATTATGTGTGATCTATCACGACAAAAATTTTAGACATTGTTTTTTTTTTCTATTTTGCTATATGATTTTGTTATGTTTTTTGCTATTATGTTTGTTTTAAGATACTTATTTGATGAGATACTGATTCATGTCTGTTTCAGCATCAGGTGACAAGCTCACGGACAGTTTTGGTAATTTTATTAGTAGTTATTTATTATGTTGTGTTTGTGGGTGTATATATTATAAGCAAATATTTTGGAACAACTTTCTTATTAGTTACAAAACATAAGTATAAATTTGCACTTACCTCAAATGAGCCATTAGTGTTGTCAATGGAAGCACGCGCTTGAAAAAGTCCTTCTAACATCATGTAATCATTTTCTTCGCATTCCTTAAGGTGTTGTTTTTCCAACATAGCAGCAAACTCTGCTTTGGACATTTCAGTTTTGGGCCGATCCAATGAAGCTACAATTTATATAAAAGAAAAAAATACAATAAATTTTCAAATGAGTAAATAAACAAATAAAGGACAAAAATAAAAAAAAATTATGTAGTGTTGTCAGTCAATATGTCAAGACGTGGGTTTATGTTCTTGTATTCAAAAGCTATGGCTTATCTGTCGGTGTAGTTCACGTTTCTGCCTGGATGTTTGTTGTGTGAAAACAACACTGAAACGTGATTGAAATATGAGCCCATCTATTTTTCATGCCCGCTCAGGGATGCGGAAGGCGTTCTTGCAACGAAAAAATAATACCTCGGTTGTCATTGTTACACTTTAATAAATTTAAGCCCATTGGTTTTATGAATCTGATTTGGTTACATCAAACTGAATTGTTTAATGTTCTTAAATTGTAACAATAAAAAATTTGCAATAAAAAAAAAAATTCATATGTTATGTACATTTTAATTTGTAAGTTTGAATCTACATTATTGTAAATATTTTCAAATTTATATACAATTTTATCTGTTAGTTTATGGATTACAGCTTAATTGATAGTTTATGAAAAAAATAGCAATTGTAAACAATTGAAATGAAAAAATATTTACTCAACAAGTTTTCAGGGTCTAAGTTGCATGCAAAATTAAATCAAATGAAATTAAATGCATATTAAATACTAATTTTTTTTTTATTGGAATTTAATTGATTGATTGGTTTTTTATATTGTAAACGATTATTAAGAGCAATTCAAAGAAAACTTTGTGCAATAATATCTCTTCGACCTTTACATTGATCAAAAATCAATTGCAGACATTGATACTTAGTATCTGCAGTGATTGAAATATTTATGAAATATTAGCATGATTTTCTTAAAAGTAAATATTATAACTAGCAACTGTTATAATATGCTTAATAAAATATTAATTAAAATTGATAAATATATATATATATATATATATATTAAAATATTAAGTTTTAAATTATTACATAAAATTAAAATAAGTTTATTAAGATAATATTTTACCGTTTAGAACCATCGGTTATAAAATGAATTTTATACGTTATCGCTTAAAAAATATGGTTAGAAGTTGAACACTTCTATACTTTAAAATTTAAAAAGAATTGTGTTAATAAAACATTGTTTATGTTATGTGGATTTGAGCAACGACCACCAAATACTGTAGAGATAGAGCATAAAAATATTTTATGGACTAACGAAATTAACCATAAGAGTCAAAATTTTTAAATTAAATAGAATTTTAAATGCGAAAACATAGTGTTTCTTAACATTATTTGTAGTACACTGCACTTAAAACTTTAAAAAATTTAAGACACTTTTCTAAGTACCATTAATAAAAAGCCTTTCGAGAGGTAAGCAAATCAGTCGATTATTCGTCCCTTTTCAAATGATAAGAGAAGAACTATATCCTTCACCTTTCCTATAAACAATCTTCTTTTTTTTGCATTAAGACTACTATATAAGCACAAAGGAGATCAATCATTTGAATGAACAACTCTAAATTCAATTGAAATTATGACCCTGACCAGAATAACTTGGAATAATGAAACAGAAATGCTTCAACACATCGACTTTCTAAGACTTGAAAAAATTTTAAAGTCTCTCTCACCAAACATTCATAAGTGTTAAAAAAATTAAGTAGATGTATAGAGTGAGTATCCCCTCTCAAACAAATAAATAATAACTGTTTTCTTTACCTTTCCCATAAACAACCCCTTTTACACATATATCCCTATCTATATTACGTCGTCAAGTATGTAAATGGCTTTTTAGTCGCCATTGTTCCAAAGTTAACAATGTCAATTAAAGTATAAGTTCAAACTGTCATTCAAGACAATTGTTTCTGTATCCTGTGGGGGCTAACGTCCAACATAAAGAAATACTGTTCTTATAGTATTTAATAGGAACAAAAACTAATCTACAACTTTCCAAAAAAAACTTAATACGTATCTATTAATATTTGAAGCATGAAGTTAGTTTAAAATATTTATTCTTGTTCTCGATATTTTCAAAATATAGGGATCTATAATATATTATATTAATTAGTATATTATATATTAATATATATCATATTAATACCTTAATTTTGTATTTTATATAGTGGTGCTATCGCATAACAAAGCAGAATTTTTCTATATTTTTTATAAAGTTTGATGACGAATGCAAGTAAAATAATCAGTGATCAACTAACCTTAACGTTAATAAAGAAATCACTAAGGTATAATATATCTTAGCTTAAATCTGCAATCTCTTTTTCTTAAAAAAACCTAGGTGACTAGGCAATATCGGACTAAAACTTAAGTTTTAGGAAGTTAAAATTTCTTTATTTTAATAAAGATACTAATATCGTGCCTTCCACAAATTTGCTAGATATAAATAGATAAGCATTTTTATATTAGACATTATTTCATAAATTCTTCTTCTCCTCGTTCAAAATGAGAGTTTTTATTAATAATATAATAATATTGAATGATTCTAGCAAATATTTTATGTATCTCTTCTTTGAAGAGAATATGAAAGAATTTAGAAAAGGGTGTCTAAGATTAAAGTATTTATCTATTTATTATTAGTAGTTTTGTTAAAGACACAAAAATCGTGACCTATTTATTAACTCAATAAAGCTCCAATCTTCGATCTTTAATTTGTTTTTCCCAAAAATCTACGAGTCTGCAAATAACATTGCATTTTTGAGGTAAGTAGACCTAAATTAACTTAAATTTGTAGCGGTTGTTGTTTATATTCATATATTTTCGGTTTAATAAATTTTTTATATTTCAAGAATCGATCTGCAAAATGTTCTCAAATGCTTAAGAAATAGCATCAAAACATTTCAGTATACAATTATATTATCAAACAGTCACTTTTCAAGTCTCATAGTAGTACAGATCTCATTAATGGTGAAAAGTATTATAATTATATTATGATAATGGTGTCTTTGATGAAATATATATTATACTATACATAATTATTTCACCAAAATATGATCCTTAATTTCAGAGATAGGAATGAAGCTTTATTCGGTTTTATTTATTGGAGTTATTATAGAAGTAATTAATAAAAATATTTTTATATTTTATATTAAATATTTTGGGTAAGATAAAGTACTGAAATCACTGTTCGTGATGCGTTTTCCGATCACTAGTGCGGTGCAAGATGATTCCGAATCGGGAAAGGCTGAAGGTGCCACTATTGACCGAACGATATATTTAGTTTTGTTCGTCGCTGCCTTACACCATTGCATACGAAGGATATTCTACAATAGTTTTCCGACTTTCCTCCACTACCTTATATTCTCACAAGTTTGGCTATATAATTTCTTGCGGTATAGCTAAGATAGTAGCTGAAGTATGAAGTAAGTTAACGGGAATACCCCAGCAAGGTGAAAGTTTTATGCTTTTATCAATAACGGTAATGCTATCTAATTCAGCTATATAGTAAATTGACTACATAATAATTAAAATAGTACTAAGCGCGCTACACGATTATTATTATTATTGTGAAAAGGGGTAGTGCACTGCGACCCAAAAGATCTATTGTGCCCCTTAGTCGGATTAGAGTGTTTCTCCAAGTTCCATTTCTTTAATGAAAGACAGTATAGACCCTACTTTTCCTAGTCTGGAATCCTTATGATTCATGAATTACCCTCCCAGGTGTTTCTTCCACTTGTGCATCAGTGACGGACACTCTCCAAGCACATAGTACGCAGTTTTTCTCTCTTCTCTACAGTATCTGCAGTCTGAGTTGGATTGAATTCTTAATTTCGTTATTGATTGTGCTATGCAATCTTTGAAGCGTTTTAGGATATAAGTGCCTAAAAGCATTTTCGAGTTCTCTTTCTTTTTCCTTTGCGTCGTTCATAAGAATGGAGACAGTTTCTTTGCCTAGTCCACAGAAAGATTCTAGACATATCATTATTGAAGCCGCAACTCTTCTTGCAAGTTTGTGTGCCATCGCTACACGATGTAAAACTATATATACAAAAAACCACCCAATAGAGTGAAGTTTAAAAAAATCGTTCCGGGTTTATGCCACACTAGGGAAAATAAAAACTAATAAGAACAAGAAATAATACAATTTTTTACTTATTTACAAGTTAGCTTTGACTTTCTGTATTAGTTTAAGCAACAACATGATGAATTGAACATTATGACCTCCATATACTATAAGTGTTAGTTTAAAGGTTACGATTATTTGTAATAAAATATATACAAATTTGTGTGTATATACAAGATAGTGTAGTGTATAAGTTATTTGTGTATATTTTTCGTTGAAATTTATTTTCTAAAACTGTATGTACAATTGTTTAATATTCAAAATAAAAATAGCTCCAAGCTGCACTTACCTTTATTGCTCTGAAGTGATGCTGTTGGCGATGCTATCATATGACACACACTCTCCAGTTCATCCGTAATGGACGTGTATTCTGTGTGAAGCCTCAGTAGTATATTTCTGGAAGGTTTCGCATGCAGTACTGTTTTGCCTATGTGCATTTCAGACACCGATAAACGCCAAGTGGAGCATAGTTTTGTTAAAGGAGCGAAAAAAAAAACCAAACGAAAAAAATAATATATTTTTTTTACAAAAAACAAAACAGGAGAAAATATTATGAAAAAAAATTGTTAAAAATAACCCGAGTGCATATGAAAGTTAAGTAAAAAATATAAAAAAAATTAAACATATACAAAAAAGGAGCACATGTTGCATAGCAATTTACAATACAACACAAAGGAAATGTTACACAACACAGAGGGGAAAAGAGGACGTGAGGATGAGTGGATGGATGTACAAGTTCATGGACGAGAAATTTATGAAAGAAAATTCAATTAATTTTCATTAGGACTAGAGTGACACAACAACAAAAAATCCTTTTTCATTTTTAATTACAAAATTACGAATGTGGATGGATTAGAATGAAGTTGGGCCTTAGGAGCACAAGGAAAAAGACTTCTCATGTTACTTTGGAATTTGTAGGACCATTGCCAATGTTGGTACGAGGTATAAGGTGACATATATATGTGATGAAATGTTAACATACCAGTTGCTTGCTCCTTATCGCTTTCAGGCTCAGATTGTGTCAAACTCATTTGTCGACGTGTGAGTGGCAATTGATTAAGGCTTATGTGAGAGCGTGCAATATCTGCAGTAATTGAACAAGTTTCCGAATTGCGACGACAAAGTGAAACTGTACGTTGACGCATAGCACGGTGTTTGGCAGCTGGTAAAGAAAAACAAAAATAACCAGAAGTTTAAACAAATCAGTAACAGCAAATAGGTATTTAAATAGCATACCTTCAAAATTGATGTCAGGTGCTGTTTCATCAGAGTTCTCACCTACTAAAGTTTGTTCATCATCATTACCTAATGGTGTCAACGTATCTTTACTTTCGGTACTAGCGCCTGTATCCTGTCGCACAGTAACATATGGTGTACGTTTAATAGTCTCACAGGTGGAGGGACGTTGAGATAGAGGTAGAAACATATCGGAGTCAGATTCAGATTGCATAGAAATTTTACGCACAACCGGTTCATTTAATGCTTCACGTGATTTTACCATTTCATCTGTTTCCTCTGGCACTGGCACCACCTCAAAATGTGTTCCCTCATCGAAGATGTACGCATCAGGACGTACCTCAGTTAATGAACGGTTAAAACGCCGACGATTAGTTACCTGTATATGATGTAAAACATAAAAATTAAATACAAATTATAAGAAAAAAAATATAAAAATGTGAATTTTATGCAAATTCTGAAAACAAAATCTTCCACAAAAATAATGAACCTAAGAAAATTCACAAGGATGATTGCATATAATGACAGAAAGAAAACAAAAGTAAAAAGACGCTTCACCTGCAAATTATGTGTTGCATTAGTTTCGTTATCTGATACGGAAATCGTGCGCACACGTTGCAAATCGACTGGAATATTCATGTTGGATAGGTGCACATCATCCTGGCCAGTGATATGCATTGCCATAAATCTATGTATGACGGCCAAGTGTGATAGTATCTGTTCTGACGATTCTTCCATCTTACGCAAGCGAAATTCGATGCTCTATAAGAAAAAAGAAAATACGTATATTCAAAATGGAATATAAAATAAAATATAATTCCTCATTTTAATGAGGAAAAAATAATGCTACAAATGCAACTAAAGCAATTGAGTAATATAAAGTGAAAAGTTCTTAATTATATAAATAAAATGATACGGTAGTTTTTAAGAAATAAAATAGGAATATGCAAAATATATGCAATAATGATGTCTCAAGAGTTATAAATCTGTGTAAAAATCAGCCAGTACTGCGGCCAGAAGAGTCTTATTGTACCAATTTCACTATTGATTACACAAAGCTCTTTAAAGCTTTGTGAACAAAATCTAGAACTGAATCTAGAGAAGAGCTCTTAATCTGCTCTGGTGAAAGGAATTTCATATGAAAGAGGTTTCTTCTGAGTGTTATTAAAGCTTGACAGTCACAAAAAATGTGCATGGTCGTTTTCTCATCTTCGAGGCATAGTCTGCATTCCGAGTTAGCAGACAATGGTAGTTTATGAAGGTGATATTATCAGTGCTTTGCTTTGTCTGAGTCCTAGAAAGTTTACCCAGTATTCCAGCCGCATTTGATTTTCCTTTTCCTTGATAATCTGTTTTGTACTGGCCCAGTTTATTGCACAAAAGGGTTGAGGGCCTATAAAAGCAGTTTTTGATGCAGTTTTGGCTAGCTCATCAGCTTTTTCATTTCCCAAAACTCCCCTGTGGCCCGGAACCCAGTAAAGGCTTACCTTATTTCGAGCTGCAAATGATTGCAAGAGCTCGTAACACTTTAGGACCTGTTTTGAATCTTAAATCTTAAAATCTTAAAATAGTTAGTGCATATTAATATATGCTTTCTTGTAAAATAAAATATAGATATAAGGTAAAATTATTAATTTAAATTTGATTAAAAAATACAACTGGGATAATCATAAAGTATCAGTATTTAGTACTAATTTTTTTGGATCAAACCACACGCATTTCATTCGCCATGAATATCACAGTTACCCAATTCGTGACATAAAAAAAAATTGCATTTCCTATTTTATTTTAAATGATTAATATATTTTTTTCGTTTGTTAAGAAATGCTTTTTTCTGGTATCCATTGATTACTTGAACATCAGCACACTCAAGTGGATTTACTGTCATCCAGTAACAGATTGAACAAGTTGAATGAAATGTCAATAGTATAAGTACTTCTCAACTAGCAGGATTACATTTTTACTTATTTGGAAAAAAAAGTGTACAGTATAAGTAAGAAATTGTCTCTATTGCTGCTCGAGGAGCTTTGTTATATCCAAGGATTGGTAACTGAAACGCATCTTATGAAGGAATAAAGAAAATTTAAAGTAATTTGTTGGAAACTGAATTTTGGTTTGCTCTTCTGAATTGTAACCTAAAAGTATAATAAGCTTAACAAAAGTAAATATAAGACGACTTCAAATACGAGTACATATATATTTACATATACATACATGTATATACATATGCTATTCAATTTGAATGAATGCGAGGTCGTATATAATCACATTTTCTAAAAAGGAAATAGAATAGCAGTAAATTCTGGTATTCGTAATAAATGTATCGAAAAAGCAAAAATTTGCTTCAAAAGTTTAGTGAAATCGATGATATAGATTGAATTTTATAACTTCCGTAACTGAGTAGCTGACTTTAAGAATCTGTAAGAAAACCGAAGTATAATCAAACAAAATCTGCTTTGTTGATTATTTAATTATAATTCCTAGTTCTTTCAAAATATGCATAACTATAATAAGCATATCCGTGTTTATAACGTTTGAGTATTAAATAAGTTTGGTAATTACATCAAGCAGTATAATTTTTATATTAACATATATATAGTGTATTCTTAGATCATTAAATAGGATCAACGGCACAGAAGCTTGAATATGAAAAGCCTGAATTAAAAATAAAAATGCTTTCTTAAAAACACTTCAATTATTATTATCGTTAACTTTATGAAGATCAAATCTTAGGGAAGGAAATTCTAATTTTAAGGTTAAAAATATATTATCTTCCAGGATTTCATTTTTAAAGTAATTTTGACCTTCTAAATTAGTTAATACTTTTCTATGTTGAAAGAATGGTCTACAATTTTGATGACAATACGAAAATAGGTGAATCAAATTTTATTTCCATTTAGGTTAGGTATCGGCAAAACGTTTCACGTAAAACATCTACAGGTCTATTGCATTACTCTAGTGCATTTAATTTACGATATCCTCCGTAGTATTAATTTTATTTTCTATGAAGTTAATATTATATATGTATTATTAATGAAGGCGTTACTTACATCATATTCTATATTTTATTTCAAGAATATCTTTTCAGTTCTATGTGGTACTCTAAAAAGGCTAGTATTATAGTCTTTCATTTTTCTATTGACACATATCACAATATCGCAGATATCACAAATTTGAACTGTAAGTCTCTGTGGTTTACCTATAGGCTAATAACTGGTTACAAAGGATATATATTGCTGATATTACTCAATTTTATTAGTTTGTTAGTTCTAAATGGGTTTCTAGATGGTTAGATTAGCTTAGTCTTAATACAAAAATAAAATTTTTTTGTACCTAATTTGTAGTTTTCACAGGTACTGATTGGTATAGTTGAATAATTGATATAGTGGAACACTGTGGTTTGTATTTTATGCAGATGTCGTAATAGTCACTATTCAAGCGAAAGTTATAACTGTTGTCTATTACTTATTCTGACTTTCCTATTTAGTATTAAACCAAGATAGTTCCCTGTTTTGGGAAATTTAAGTGCCTATTCTTTGACATATATAAATGGTATAGAGGGATAGAGGGTGAAGAGTGAATGGTTGAATAAATGGTTGAACAGCACCATTTTCGTTTTTGCTGCATTCACATTTAAGTCACAAAAGTCCAGAATTACATGATTACCTGACGTGAAGGCTCAACACCATGGTGTGCGTATCGGCATATTACGCCAATAAACACTTCATTAGAATTCTGAGGAAATCCAGAGGTACTAATTGAAACTATACGTTTGGATATAGTTTTTTTTCTTGGTGAGGAGCGAAGCCTACCTAACATCTTTGCTGATCTTTGGGTCACAGCACCCGGTTGGAAAATGCAACTCGACATCAAATGAAAGTAAATAAATATATTCGTTCTACCTATATTTAAGTCACAATGGGAGTTGTGTTTATATGGGGCATTAATGGGTTGTTACGTCAGTTCTAACAGTATAATATTATGTTCCTTCTGAGCTATAAAGAGGAATGACGTTCGAATAGATTAAATACTTGTTAACTTTTTTTAATTTTTTATCTTTTTCTGTTAACTTTTTTCACTTTACTGCCTGGCACTTGCAGTCCAAACAAATTATATACGGACTATAAACTAATTAAATAAAATTCGATTATTTCCAAAGACCACTGATGAAGAGTACTTGGCAATACTCGAAACAGCGTTTTTTCACTTTAGTTAGAATTGTTTTTTAAATATTTTTCACATTTTATCATATTTGAATATAAAACTAAAATTCTTGTTTCGAAAAAAAAAAGAAGAAAGACAAACTTACCTGAACTGTAGCTGTTTGTGCATTCTCTTTTTGATTTATATCTTCTATTTTTTGTGTCATAACTTCAACACGTTCAGTTGTATTTTTAACACGTTCATCTGTCGATTGATTTAATATAATTTCCTGTTCGTGAAAGAATCCTTCAACGCATTCCTCCTCGAAATCATATAAACGCTCCAGGTCATCCTTTTCGAGAAACAATTTAAGTCCATTATCGCGTTGTACCTCCAATCCTGTGCGCATTTATTTGTTTTTATTCATAAATATTGCATTGCGTTGCAAGGGAATATGTTAATTACAATTGATTGAAAGGATAACAGCAACAGAAATTCAAGCGACAACAGCAGCAGCAGCAACAGCAACAGCAACAACAATTGCAGCAACAGTTTACATCAATAGCAATATAAATTGCATAAAGTATTGCATTGTTTACAGCATTGCCCAGGAAGTTGTTTGTTTTCATAAAGGAAGGCAGTCAAGGAATCAGCACACAAAATATATAATTATAAATAAAAAATGAATTTTTATGAAAACAAAATATTTCAATAAAAAATATTAATTCACATTCAATAGCAAAAATCACAATATATACATATATTTTATATATGCGTATATATATATATTATTGTAATATTTTACAAAATTCATATATCACATTGATCGTTGCATTTTTGTTGTTTTTATATACGGGAGTACGTTGTACATTCATTATTATTATATGCATTTTTTTTGTTTATATGAAAAAATATATAAATATAAATCCATAAATATATTATTATTATTATTTATTTATATTAAATAATTGTATTATTATTTTGTAATTATAGTTTGGTATGTTATAACGAAAATAAGCAAAGTAAGCACAAAGAAAAAGAAAATTTTATTGGGTTATTATTTACGAGTGTTAAAATTAAAACTCACAGGGAATAAAATTTAACTTTCTCATCCTTCTCTCACCTTTGGCTTTGCGAACACAGTACTTAAGCAGTGAATAAAAATGACAAAATGCTATGAATGGCGGCGGTAATACTGGCTTTTGTTGATACTCCATGACAACCGTGAAACGCTGAAACATCCAAACCTACAAACCAAAAAAAAAAATCAAATATGTTGGTTTCATTTAATTAAATTGAAAAAATAAAATAGAAAAGATATATTTTTTTATGAATTACAATCAAATTTTGAAGTTAATTAATTGAAATATCATAAGTTAGCAAGTGGCTCTAACCTTCAGATTTAAGAGGGTTCAATTCCACCCACTTGTAGTCTTAAAACTTTATGTAATTAATTAAAACAATATATATTTATACAGACCACTGGTGATAGATATATAACGGTATTCAAAATAGCCGCAATATATGATATATGAGTGATATGCCAAGATCACTTGCATTGACGAGTACCTTTTGATACTCGCTCATATGTACCTCACCCGGCTCCATGACCTCCCCCTGACGTCTCTATTCCTATAACCCTTCCTGAAGATATTGTTCTAGCCTTGAGCTTTAAACCTCCCCAATAGCTGTGCCACTACCTCAATGAGTGAGACCGTAACCTTCACTCCATTCCTCTATATCCGCGGGTTTCGTGCCCCAGTAAACTACCGCTAACCTCGCACCGCTCATCTGCTCTAAAACCACCCCCTTTTCTATAACCCAATTTCTCTAATGTACGCCCTTGCTTTCTGCCTTAGATAAATCTAGTTCGCTAGGTACTAAGTCTATTTCTTGTCCTCTTTCCCCTGATTACTGGAATGAAGTTTTCACAATGCTGTGGAAATCTTCTCCATTCATTCCTAAGAGGTGGTTTAGTGGGTTCAAGTCTCACAAGGTGGCTTCCGATGCTGATTAAACATTTAATACTTATATGCAAATATTTTCGCACTATAACTTACTAACTTCTTTCAAAGTAGAATTTATTCTCAGAGGAAAATGAATTTTTAAACAATTAAAAATTAAAATTTTTTAATAATTAAAGAATAAGATATTTAATTAACTAAAAAATAAAATTTTTTTGCTATAATTCATTATTATCAGTGGCGCATACGATGGGCATTTTGGGGTTCAAAAGAAGTCATTTGACCCCTAGAAGACTTCAAATTATTTCACACTTGATGTAATGTATTTTTTTTAATAATATGTTTTCATAGGAATTTCGAAGTAAATTTCAGAAATACGTACTGTAATGATTCTCTGTACCATCATAGGTACAATTCTCTTTTTTTATATTTAAATAAATTCAAATACAGAATACAATTTATTTTAATTGTTTCATTTACCTGATGTGAAACCGAGTTGACTTCGTTGAAAATATTATTGAAAACAGCAATTAACAGATTTATGAGTAAAATGTTAGCAATCAACAGATACATTGACATTGTTATAGGTGTAACCCAATGACCTAAAAATATTTATTAATTAAAAGTTAGTAAAATTGTCATTTGCAGTTGCAAAAGTTGTCACTTCGCTTACCAGTGACACATGGTGGTTGCCTTGGATCTTCTCCGCAGGGTGGATCTATGTCATCAGCAAAAACTTCACCATACAACATAAAATATGGTTGATAATAAACCTGAAAAAATCATTAAAAATTTTTTTATATAATTTTCGTAAATATGTATTTTAACAACACTTGATAAAAATTACACAGTCATTCACATAAAGTACTGACAAACACTAAAGGACACATAGCAATACAATTACAAGGTAATAAAATGTGTGACAGCTTTTTAAATAATATTGCAAATAATGAATGGAAGTTAAAAATAATGAGATTTCATATAAAATTTTATTTTCGTTCAGAGATTTATTTTTTAATTACATTTAAAACTGTTAATTGCTCAAAGGAGAACCTCATTAGCCATTATAAGAGAATATCACTCGTTGCAGGGATAAAAGGATAAAAAGTAAGTAAAAGTGATACAAAAAAAAAAAAACTAGAAAAAATTATCACTTTTTCGAGAAGAGTATTTAAATCTATTTTAAAACCACCTCTTATTGTAAGGATTATGGTTTTGTAAGGATCAAATTGTTATCTATCATCAAAGCAATATAGATATGTCCTAAGACACAAATAACAAGGAGGCAATTTTTAGTACGAAGGAGGCATTATGCGGTTTAAGTATATTATTTATACTAAAACTTTCGTGAGAATAAAAAGAAGGTTACTTGAAGTGTATGTTTTCAAGTATTTTTTAAGCATTTTTAGTTTTTTGTAAATCCAAAAATTTCTTAAAAACAAAGGAAAAGAACATCATATTACAAGTTTTTATTTACTAAGGAGCATAGCAATTGTTCACCGAAACTCCTAGAATGGCATTATAAATATATTCAATAAATTATTTATGTTTAACATATTAACTTACTAACATGTTTATTTGTAAGGACATCTCAAATATAAACCTTAAAAGGACATATGGCTTCATCTACCGAGCTAATAGGTTTTAAAAATTTATTGTAAATCTTATCTCTAGCTTTGATAAAATAGCTTTTATGCGCTACCTTTAGCGATCTAAAGCAGACGAGATAAATATGTTTAATTCCAAAACAGGTATTTTAGTATTAAAACTACTATTTAAACATATTAAAAAGAATTTATTTGTTAGTATGCGGAAAAACACGTTACTAAACATGTTTTATTTAAAACACAACTAGGTTACATCTTATTAATCCTTATCAAATATAACGTTTTATTATATCTAAAAATTCAGACATATGTTAGTGCAAAATAGGGTAATTATTAAATTTAATTTTTTACAATTTAACCTGATACATAAATTTCTAAATAGTATACAGAATTAAAGAGATTCTTGAAAATTCGAGAAAAGGTCTAGAAAGGTTAATTTTAACATATAACGTTTAAACTTAAAATAAAGTTATTTAATAAACTTATTTAATATTTAACGTTTAAATAAAACAAAAACTCAAATAAAATAACATTATATATTTAAGTTAAGAAAAATATGTTTAGAAAAAATATGTCTAGACAGCTTGCATTTTAAATAGCTATTAGACCATATATTCCTAATGCATTCAGTATACTCCTATAATATAAATAACAAGGATTTATTTTTCATCCGCAATTTTTTAACCTTTAAATAGTTAAACAAGAAATCAGTTTATTTGTTGTTAAATTTTCGTATACCCTATATAACAAAAAGTGTTTAAAAAAAAGGAACCCTTTGGATAAATAAACCATGTAGCTATCTAAACGACATTAAAAGTCAATGCTATAAATAAATAAATATTCCGAGATTTATATTCTAAAACCTGTTTAAGAATAATTTTTAGAATTATTAATTTCGAAAAGTTTGACAGCTGTCAGTGGTTGTAGTAATCAATAGGACTGATGGTCATTGAAGGCGAATTGAAGAAGAAATTACACAAAAGCTACAAAATATTTCGTGACGACCTGTTTTTGCCCTACAATGCCAGGACGAAATGTCCTCAAATTTACCAATGGAACAATTTGTCGTAAACCATATATAGAAGAGTTTAGATGAAAGAACTGCATTACTGTGATGATCACACATACATTCTTAATTTCAATAACGTAACCATCCTATATCATCAACATGTCAGGTTTTAAACTTTAACCAAGAAATCTAGAGATGTTCTTTAGTATATAGCAATTTAATTGACAATAACAAAAAACAAATGATTAAATAATTTTTATTATTAATCATATCAAGTAGTTGTTTCAAAACAAAGGCAGCAATTAAAATTGTGTTTTTTTAAATAAAAATTAACAATTGATAATTAAAATTATTTGTCCATAAAAACAAAAAAATAAAAGATTTTATGATCAATATATAATATCACTAGTGGACTCTGAATTTATCATCGTTTTACATATGCTTTTGTCTAATACAAATAACTCTTGTTATCAAAAATAATTAATATAACTATATATAACATTTTTCAATGGATTTAGAGAAACACTACAGCATAATAATATTTTAATTAAAAAATCGAATCAAGAAGAACTTAAGCTCAACCTTTTATGATGATTTGCACAAACTCAGAAGTCAATAGTTTCTTTTCGGGATTGGTCGCGATTAATATGAAGATAATGGAGCAGTTTACCACAACGAAATTTTGGAGAATCCTATTAGGTCATTGGCAAAAATGATCAAATTTTTAAAAATTTAATGTCTATAACAGCTCGTTACGGGTTTAGGTCTGACATAGCATGTCTCCTTAGGTGCCTTTGCTGCGTGCGCGTTTTCTACAGTCTCTTATATTAAGTGCAGTTAGTGCTCTCTCAACGTGATCACTCCACTGAAGACACAGTCAACCTCTACACTTTCTTTCTAAAACTATTACTTCAAATACTTTTTTCGCTGGAGTAACTTTATTCATTATTACGACATGACTAAGTCAGCTTCGCTATGTATGTCAATTCCCTGAATTATATCAATTTCGTGACTTGCTCGTACAGCTCTTGCTTTATTTGGTTTTGATAATCGTCGTCAACACGAAGTGGACTAAAGATCTTACGAAGAGTTCTGTTCAGTATGATATATGTATACAGATATAAAAGTTAAAAAAAGTAACTTAGAATACGCGACTCTATTAAAATCCGTTGTCAAATTAGCAAGCTCGTAAAAATAAAATACCGTCGATGAATGTAATATTTTCAATAAGTTTTTTTGGTTGGTTCAGAAAAATTATTTTCAATTATAAAAATACCTCATTTTGAATAAAATATTTGAATATTTAATGTGGATACTTTGCATTTTATTAAAAATATTAAGCCATGAGTGATTTTTTTGATGTTCTGCAATTGATTGATTTATAAAAATACATTTTAAAAAAATTTTCTTGAAAAAATGAGACGCAAATATAAGTTCAATACCATTTCGAGTGACTATTTATATATTTCAGAAATATTCTATAATATTCCATTAGAATATTCTATATTAGATTCGATTTCTACTATTAATAAGTTTCTCAGTTTTTATTTATCTTTCTGTACTTTAATATTTTGCATGAAGCGCAATTTTCAGCACTTAATCCATAATATCTGAGAACGTGTAAAAATTATTATCCTACGTGGCATCTGTCTTTTTTAAAAACTATTTGACACTGCGAAAAGATTTTATGATGTTTGCGAATATTAATGAGGACATTTCATAATGCAGTCTTACGTTGAGTTATGAGAAGATTTAAAGAAAAATTAAAATAAACTACAGCATAAAACGCGATTTTACAATTTGCATATCTTGTAAAATATGCAGAGAAAACGCTGATAAAAAAATACAAATAAATTATAGGGGGAATGAACAAACATTTACAACAAACATGCAAAACACCGATACTCATACACCTTGGAAGGAAAAAATCTTTGTTGGGGAATAAACTAACAAACGGGAGATTCAAGAGTGGAAAGAAAATAGAACTTGACATCCGGTAAGAAAGGAGATGAAGAGTTTATGAAGAGATAGTGGTAAATGTTGCTTTATTGTTTTAAATTTTAATGCAAGCAAATTCTTTATAATAGAGTACACACACATTGACTTAATCCAATAATTTTAGAAAGAACGGAAAGAGTTAAGAGAACTTAAATGTATATAGACAACAGCATGCAACACTTGTACCTTGACATTGAAAATACGATTAGATTATTTAAATTAAAATAAATATATTTTTTAAGGATTTCAGGATTTAATTTTCAGAAAACACATATATGACAGAGAAATCGCGGCTTAGGAGAACTAAAAAAGAATATAGTGGTTATGCTGTTAATTATTATTCATTTTCATAGGGTTTATATAAAATTTGTATTGTATGTAATATTATTATTAATACACACATACATATATATATATATATATATATATATATTATTATGTTTCTTTTTTTTGTAATTTACATATAAATATATACGCACAACATCAACGAGTTGTCTTAGAAATTGACATTTGTTTTGTGTTGTTATATCAAACCAGTCTTTACATTTGACAGATTTCCGCTTGCTACACTTATATTTTCAGATTTTTCTAAGATTGGTTCTGTTGCATTGGCTACCGCTGTTGGTGGACGATACCGTTTCGACAGAAGTGCAGCACAAGCTCGACTATTGTGTGAACGACTGTTATGGCTGAGTGCGCTCATAAATCCAGGTGCTACAATGGAACCAGCGATGACCTGCAAATGCGTTTAAAAGGTATGCGTATGTTTGGGTGTGAGGGGCGCAGTGTTGGAATTGTGCGAAATTTATTTATTATTGATGATAAATGCATAAAGTGTTTAATGATAGTTAAAAAAATATAAATAAAAATTAATATAGGCGCACGATTGGTAATGAATGAATAAGAGAATAGAAAAAAAACGAGAATAGCAAAAATATTTCCGGGAAGGAAATACAAAGTGATAAATATTATTTATTTTAATTATTATAATTTAAATTTAGTACTTCTACTAAAATTAATATAAATGTATGTACTCTATTATTAATAAATATAAAAGCCTATATAATATTTGATTTTTTTATAAAATTATTACATAAAAAAGTAATTAACAAATTCATTGTGTAACAATCAAATATATAAAAATTTTAAAAAGAATTCTTAAGCAAGCACAACACACAGACAATTTTCTAACGCTCACAACTTCAAAATTACAGAAAGAATTAAACAAAGCACTCTGAAATCAGTATAAGAACAGTGGTTGAAATATACCATTATCTTTAATACTTATAAAGAAAATATAAGAGATATATTAAAATTATTTAAAGATATTTAATATTACTTTAAAAATCAAATCTTTGCTTTAAAGTAAAAATTATGACGAAAGAAATTATTTTGAATAGAGAAGTTCAGGAAGTATTTAAAGCTATCATAAGAAACAAATGAAATAAACTTTAATCAGTTAATCAGTTATATCAGTTACATCACAATCAATTTTTATTTCAATTTGATATATCTAATTTTTTTCTAATTATATTGTTATTATTATTTATAAAAAAACATTGTAAGTCCATTATATATATATGTTTTTTTAACATCAAGAATAATAATTATTAATTGTTTTTATAAATCATCCAAAAAATTATAATCGAACTGAACATTTTTTTGCAGCATTAAAAAATAATTGTAACATAATTATTTATTAAATAAACAATAAATAATAAAGCATTTTTATTATAAGAATTTCTCAATTAAACGTTACGCATTTAATTTTATTATTCTTGTAATAAAACTGATCATTCTATTGAAATTTTTTTGGATCAAACAGTAAAAGTAATAATAATAGTAAAAAATGTAATTTAAATATTTGGTAAAGTATGAGAAGTATTCAAAATATTTATATAAAAAACCAATTTTTATATAAAAATATTATTTTCAATCATAGAGAAATACTATAATTATAAAATTAGAAATACTATAATAAATTCAAAACATGCAATAGCTATATTAGAAAACAAGAGAGTGTATGGGTATATAGGGTGATCAAACCAGTACTATATATTTTTTAAATGTCAGATTCTCCCCAAATTATAAATATCATTATAAATTTAAATATGTGTATTGTAATTTTTTTGACAAATTTCCGTCACTTCCCAAGGACGACTATTTAACAATTTATTTTAGTTAAGCCAGTAAACTATATATCAGTATGTCATAATTATAACACGATTACTAGTTTTTTGTGTAATTAAACAATTAAACAAAAAAGTATATATATGAACAATATAACATATGTCCTTTGAAAAAATCAACTTATTTAGAGAACTGAACTTACAGAACTTAGAGAGAGCTTAGAGAAATGAATATATATAGCTGTTACTTGAACAGCCTTTCTATAATTATTATGAAAAAAATATGTTATTAAACTATAATCAACAATTAGAAAACCTTAAGCAAAAAAGAAGATAAAAATTAATAAAAAATTTAATTTAATGTTTTTCAGCAGTATTTTTTATTAAGCAATATCATTTAGAACCCACAAAAAATATATTTAAGAAAAATACTGAATTTTTTAATATTTTGATGTGATTTTTTTAGCGCCATGAATAGTTACAAAGCATGTTTGTAAGCCAATTATTAAGTCATTTAATTTTTTATACAACATAATGTATATTTATACATTTAAATTGAATTGAAGACTAGTTGTGTGGAGTGGCAGAATACAACATGAAACTAAGTACAAATGTAAATGCAAAAATTATGTGCAAAAAATAACACGAATTTGCAACAATAACGATGCTTATTCTGACAATGTAGAGGTTTGTGTGCATGCACAAAATTGGGTAGTGCTTTATGTCGATTATAGATATGATGACCAGATTTCTGTTTGTTTGCATGCGTGTCAATTTTAAAACCAAAGCTATTATTCTTATTGTATATAACCATCTCTTGTTCATTTATTTATTTTTTTTGAATGCACCAATTTCACATTTCGAAACTAATATTTTACGAGAATTTAAACACTAGCTGACATTTTTAATTAAATATAAATTTGTTAAGTTTATTTTATAATTTTTATATCATAAAATCTATAAGTATGTAAACTAATAAGTAACACATTTCATATACTATTTCATTACCTATTTCAACAAAACTATAAAATTGGTGCTGGGTGTGTGAGTCAGTACGAAGTATGTGATAATCTAAAAAATATTATAAATTCAGTAATAAAAAAAATGTGCACATTACGGTTATATACAACAAACTACATATGATAAAAATTGTATAAAATATTATAGTCAATAAACGAGTGCATAGGTTGGCTTTACTATAAATATCATAAAATATCTCAATAAGAAAAATGTAACAAATTTTTTTTACATTTAATTTGCACAGTCGTAAAATAGTACGTAAACCAGAGATTTTAAAGTTATGAAAAATTTGAAATGGAAATATGAAATTATATTATTTTAAAGCCAGCATTAATACCAAAGCAAATAACATTGCTGTTCCTACAAGATACATAAAAAAAATGCAAATATACCTGTAAAACATTTTTTATTTTATGTATGTTTAGATAAAACAAAATTTAACATATTTTGTTAAAAAATTGGAAAAAATATTGTATTTGATTATTAAAATAAAAATCCTGTATGTATTTGTGATTGGATATACTCTCTTTTTACGAAGTTTACAGAATACAGTCCGTTTTGGGAAATAAAAATATCAAATTTAATTAAAAATGGTTTATCTGAATTTCAACTAAATACTCAGTATACTAAATACTCAGCGTATACATTGTGTCTGTATTAAAATTATAATTAAATCATGAAAAATATACTCGTCATATAATAGTTTAACAACAAGGTTTTCAGAACTGAATTCTGTTTCTTTATACTTTTAATATGGATTATCTTACTTATTAATATATCTTACTAATAAAATGTTCAGTTGTTACCAAGTTAATTACTAAAAAAGCAATAGGAACATTCACGATGTTGCCTGTGGAGTTCGCTAACAGAGTAATGAGGCAAACACAAAATACATTACGACTACATGTTGTTAATACATTATAGGATTCTTATGTTATCTAGTTACCGAGAATGATTGTCGAGAATAATCATAATATATTTTTTGTTATTTTTGCAATAACATATTTTATTTATTAGTATATGTTCTTCTAACAATAATAGAGTCATTCCAATGCTTTTCAAACCGTTCTTTACATAATTACGAGATAGAATGCCACCACGAATTTATGATAGATTCTAAGCTTTATATATATTTCTTGTAGAAGTATATAAATTATAATAATAAAACAAGCGATAAAATAGTGGCCACGAGTTGAAAAATCTGGCTAATATAGAAGTGAATGAGGAAGCATTTGAAAGTATAACTCTATTAAATTTATACACTACATTTAACGATTCGTTGACTGTCAACATTATTATGACAAAAAAACTACTTTACTCTACGCCAATTTAAATTTTTTCGATTCTTTTAACCTTATTTTCTTTCTAAACTTATTGACGTCACAAATGCTTCACACTTTTGAAATTGTGAACATCATTTTAAGATATTCAATAAATATGTTTGTAACCATGCTAGGAGACTAAATCTCCCTTTCAATTATATCTGCCGCATTTGTGGTGAGTACAATGAAAGTGCCTCCCACCTGCTTTGCTTCTGTCAGGTACATGCACGGCGCCACATTAACATTTTAGGGGCTTTCTTTTTTGAGTATGAATAGCATCATAAGCTTTGTTAAAGGTACCAGATGGTTTTAACCCATGGGTTTTTAATAATACGGTAGCACAATGGACTAAGAGGCCTAAGTGGATCCCCTAACCTAACTTATGGGTGTAGTCTTGATATCGTTAAAGTAATGAAGATTGCCATCTATACTATATTATAGTTACTATTTTTATTGAATAAAGTTGGTTATCAAAAAAATTTCGATGTGCAAACAAAAAAATTTAATGAACTTAGTTCCCATTTACAAATCGCTATAAAAACGAAAAAATTTAAATCATTGCGAAGAGTATAGAAACAGTATGGAAGAGTGTGGGTGAAAAACGGATTAAATATGATAATGAATCACGATTGAGTAAAAACAGATTAAGTCATCAGTGATTCTGTTATACGCTGCCATATTTAAAATGCACCGAATGCAAGTTGTCGAAAATCTCAATTAACGACTCAATTACTTTTTAATACGGATAAAAAGTTATAATAAAAATCTTCTGTTTTAAAGTTACTTACAAGTTTAATAGAAAGTAACAAAATTATAAATTAATAACAAAATTACAAGAAATACTTCTTATACAAGTTCTAGTCAAGACTGCTTATTAATTTTAAGTACTTTACTTATATTTCCAAAAGGATTTTTTTCACTATCTAAAGCGATCACATGATGGCTACATTTTAACAATTGAAGGGTCATTTGTGATGTCACGTTTGTCGTTAATTTCTTTTTTTTTATTAAATCATGGCAACGAAAATAGTTTAGATTGCAACTTTCTGTGTTTGGAGTATATCACTATACGTTTTTAACTATCATCATCTAGTCAAACGATGGATTTGAATGTTACCTGTGATCAATTAAAACAGTGGAAATAAGAAATTATAAAAAATGAAGTCTGAACACATCAAGAGAGAAAGTATTATGCTTAAACATGGTTCATCTTTCATGAGCCGACGAAAAAATTTAAGACCTCGTTTTGAAAGTATTAACATCTA